ATCTCATTTGCACCTATGGTTTTGACTATTAATTGTCTATTTCTCTAAATCCTCCATTCTTGTCTATTTTCCTCCCTTTGTTCTCAACCTCTCACTTTTTTTTTTAACAAATAAGAAGAAAATGTTAAAGAGAGGGACTTTGCCTATCACCTGTGATCTATTAGTGAAGTGGTCTGTTTTTGCTATATTGCCTCTCATTCTTCCCCTTATCTTGCCTCTGATAGGTTTGAATATTTCCTTCTTTTCTTTTACTCTCCCCTTCACACTCCTTGCTTCCAGTTGGAATTTGTTTTACTTATCACTATTCTTTTACCTATCATACCTTCTCTCTTAAATCCCCTGCCTTCTTCCCTTTTCCTCGGACATTTCCTTTTTGAGTTGAATGATTTCTAAACCTCTGTCTCTGTCTGTCTGTCTCTTATTCTGTTTAATATTTCTTTGGTTCAGATGATAGTGAGATTCCTAGGATGCCCACTATTTGAATACTCTTCATCTTATGTAGCTCTATTACATAGTAGTAATCCCTCTCCTCTTCCTTTCTTTCCTCTCAGTATAGTTGCTTATCTCTCTCATTTATGTCTTCTAATACTATCAAAACAGAAAAAAATAACCTTTAGTTTCTTAGTCTATATTATTTTTCTTTGTGACCCTTGGGGATATGAGGCTTCTGAGAAGACATTCCTCTTTTCTTCCTATTTAGCATGTAAACAAATTATTTCCATATTGCCTTTCAGTTGAACAAATGAATATACCACTCAGTTTTCCCTGCATTTCCATTTCAATGTCTACTCATTTCTGATCCTTTTCATCAGAAATGCTTAAAAGTCATCTCTATCATGAAAGTCTGTTCCCTTTCCATCATAGGATTATACTTAGTTTTTTCAGACAAATTTTTCTTGATTGAAAGCCTTTATCTTTTGATTTTTAGAATTTCATTTTCTAAGCTTTCTGAGCTTTTATAGTGGCTCTCAATTCTTGTGTCATTGTGATTATGGTTCCTTAGTACTTGATCTCTTTGTTTTTGGCTGGTTCTTCTTTGACCTGGAAATTCTAGATTTTAGCTATGATAATTTGAGGATTTTCCATTCTGAGGCTTCTTTCTGAACTTAACTTGGATTCCTTTTGTTTTTACTTTGCCTTCTTGTTCATTTATGATTTCTTGGACACCATTATTCAGGCATTTTTTTTGGTCATGATTTTCAAGTACTTCAAATATTTTTATATTATCTCTCCTGTACATATTTTCCAAGTCATTTGTTTTCCATAAAATATTTCTGATATTTCCTTTTTTTCGATTTTGTAATTTTGTTTTAATATTTCTTGTCTCACTGAGTCATTGTTTTCCATTTAGTTCATTCTGACTTTCAGGGTAATCAGTCCTTGCCTGAAGTTTCCCACCATTTCTTTTAAGGTGCCATTCTCCTTGCCATTTTATCCTCTCTAGCCCTTACATTTTGTTTTATTTCTTCCAGGTACTCTTATAATCCTTCTGGCAAGGACACTTTTTTTCTGAGACTTTAATTGGACTTGTGAGGCTGTTCTTTGCTTCCAAGTTTACCCTTTGGTTGACTCTCAGTCCAAGGTATTTCTTATATTATTTGACTTCTCTTTGTTTTTGTTTTTTTCCACATCAGCACCCTCGGTGTCTAGGTAGAAGGCTTGTGCTTTGATCAAACTCTACTCCTGTACTTCTGGATGGTGTTTTGTGAGGTGATATGACCCTGTATTAGAGTTAAGACAATGTCTGAGAACAGGAGGAAGCATATGTGAGAAATATTATAAAGATAACATTGATAGGTCGGTTTGGTTCTGGTCCTGGCTGCCTATGTATTGCGCGTCTATTAATTTTTGGTTGAATATTTTGGAGTCACTAAGTAAAGTATAATATCGTTTTCAAAATGTGATAAATAGGCATGACATTTTCAATTGTTAGGGCCTTGTCATCACTTTCCTTCATTTCTGGAACTTTGAGGTGATCTCATAAAATCTGATTTAAAATTGATATAAAAGCCTTGTAGTTTACCCTGCATCCAAACAGGAATCCGCTCTACAACATCATTGACAAGGGGGTCATCTAGTCTGAAATAAATGATGTGTTAGTATTTCTGCTTTTCCTTATTTTGGCAGGAGGTCATTATATGCTAAAACATGATCAATTTTTGTAAAGGTACCATGAAAAACTAAGAAGTATCTAAGTTCACTTCTATTTTCATTCATTAACCAAAAGAAAAAATATTATTTCTAATTGTTTTAAAGTTCTTGTCAGGTTCTCAACTTGTTTATTGTTTAACTTTTGGTTAGGATTTGTCTAGGTCTATAAGGGGTCCACAGTAAGTTTCCCCACCGTTATAATTTTGCTGTCTAATTCTTTAGTTTGTTTAACTTTTACATTAAGTTTTTAGATGATGTGCTATTGGGTATATTGATGTGTTCTTTTATGGTACCTTTAATAATAATATAATTGCTGATTTCTCTTTATCATGTTTATATTTACAATAGCCTTATTGGAAATTATAATTGCTACCTCTATGTTTTTGAGTTTAACTGACATGTAATAGATTTTGCTCCAGCCCCTCGTTTTAACTCTTTATGAATCTTTGCATTTTAGGTATGTTTCTTATAAATAACACATTCATGTATCTCCCTCAAACATTTGACTTTGTTTTGCCTACAACTCTTTCCTTACCTATCCTGTCCTTCCTCTTAGATCCCTCTCTACCCCTCCTTGTTCCTGTTCCTTCCTATTTCCCTGTGGAGATTAATGTTTTTCTATAGCAAAATCTCAGTGACTATGAATAGGTGTGTGTAATTGTATTAAAAAGAAATGTGATTCATTGGTTGCTTGTTCCCCCCCACCCTTCTTTCCATGACTCTGTATTCTTTTTTTTATGTACCTCTATAATATAATAGTGATTTACTTCTGTTCTTCCTTTTCTCTTCCCCAGTGTAGTACTCTGTCCCTACATTTTTTACTTCTCCAAGACCATTAAAGCATAATAAAACTACCCACAGACCCTGTGTCATCTTTACCTTTCTCTATGACCCTTAAAGAAATTAGGAATCTGAGAAGACATTTTTAAATAGCATGTAAACAATTCATCCTTATGTACTCCTTTTTAGTTAAACAAGTGTATGTTCCTTTCGGATTTTCTCTTAGTGCTTGCATTTTCATTGGAAAGTATCTACTTAGTTCTGGCCTTTCATCAGGAATATTTGGAAATCTATCATTCCTAGTAAAGGTCTATTCTCTTCCACTCCTAGAGTATTACACTTTGTTTTGTCAATGAGTTACTCTTTTTTTTTTTTTTTTGCTAAGTCTTTACGCCTTGACTTTTGGAATATTGTATTCTAAGCTCCCCTCTCCTTTCTAGTTCCCATTGTTAAATCTTATGGATTCTTTATTGGGGGTCCTTGATACTTGAACTCCTTTTTAGCCTCTTGTAGTTTTTTTTTCCCATGACGTCGAAGCTCTGGATTGTGGCTATGACATTGTTGGAGTTTTCATTTTGGGATTTCTTTTAAGAAGTCAACTGTTTGTTTCTTTTATTCTCATTTTCCCTCTGGTTCTAAGAGTTCTGGGTGGTTTTTAATTTGTCATTTTTAAAAAATATGATATCTAAACTCTAAAGGACTCATGATGAAAAATGCTGTCCACATCCAAAATAAGAACTATGGAGTCTGAATGCAGATTGAAACATATTATTTGCTATCTCTTTTTTTTTCTTTCTTGTGGTTTCTCCCATTTATTCTAATTCTTTATAACATGACTAATGTGAAAATAAGTTTAACATAAATGTATATGTAGAGCCTATATCAAATTGCACACCATCTTGGGGTGGGGGGGAGGGGAGAGATGGGGAGAAAATTTGGAACTCAAAATCTTATGGAAGTGAATGTTGAAAACTAAAAATAAATACATGCATACAAAAGTATGGTCTCTGGACTTTTTTTTTGGTCATGGTTTTCATATTATCTGATAATCATGAAGGCCTATACCAGGCTGGTTGCAGTGTCAAATGAGAGAACAGACCATATTTGAGGGATATTATGAAGGTGAAACAGTCCTTGGCAACAGATTTGTATGGCAGAGTGAGGGGCTGAGAAGGACATTAAGGTTCTCAACTTACGTGAATGAGAGGATGGTTATTCCTCTGACAGTAATAGAAACATCTGGGAGGGGGAAGATTCTGAGGGAAAGATAATGAATTCAATTTTAGACATGTTGAGTTTAAGATAACTAATAGACTACTAGAGATATGATTCTGGAGGTTAGCAGAAAGTAAGTGGCTTGGCAGCATAAAGGTGATAATTAAAACCAGGAGAGCTGATAAAATCATCAAGTGAAATAGCATGGAGGGAGAAGAGAAGAGGTCCCAGGAGAAAAGCCATGTGGGACAACCACAGACAGTGACCTGGAAGATGATTCCATTTTTTGTTCTGTCTTTTCTAGTTCAAAGATTATTCTTTTTGACTAAGAAAGTACAAACAGAACTAAAATACTTTGCCAAGATTACTTTCATATTCTTGGAGTTGCACAATTTTCATTTATTTTTTAAGCTTCAGAAATAGAAGAAATTTAAAAATTAACATATATGTGTATGTCATATATATACATATAGGCATGTATATGTATATGTATGTATATAATTGTGTATGTGTATATATATATGTAAAATTTTTATTAGCAAATGTGAATAAAATTTATTAGTAAATATGAACAATTAGCCAATAACAAAAAATACTCTTTCAGGTTACTGAGGGTGATGCTTTATCTGGTGACTTGAAAATGATTAATATGTTTTCCCACTAGTATTGACAGTATTATTTCTCTTAATGGAGGGGCCCTATTGGTTTATAAGTTTTTATTATACTTCTAAATTTGCTAAAATTATATATAGCATTGAGAGGAGCTAAAAACCTAGTAGAATTTGTGATTTATTACTCTTTTCCTTCTAAATGAGTTTCACGTGTACATTTTATGTGCTCTTTTTTTCTCAAAGTGAAAAATAGCTGCCCAAATTCTGGAATAGAATGTGGAACTTCAGGAACTTGTATCAGTGCAACTAATTGGTGTGATGGAATATCACATTGTCCCAGTGGTGAAGATGAGAATCATTGTGGTAAATATATCTAGAAATTAATAATGAGAAGGTACTGTCTTATGTAGGACTTCCTTATTGCTTAGAAATTTTCCTATTCACCAAGTGATTTTTGTTTTCAATGACATTCACAATGCAAGTTGGTTGTCTTCTCTGACACCAACCTTATTAGGGACATGTGGCAGGACCATGATATACATTTATGGAGAGAAGCCCTTCCAGTGCTTCAAGGATTTGGGATTTTATTCAATTACAAGTAGGAAAAAGTTAGGAGAGTATTCTAATCATAAGTAGTTAAAAAAACTATTTAAACTTTTGTTAAGTGGACATTTGAAAGCAGATTGTAGAGATAAAAGACAGAATTATCTTCGAAAGTAGATATCTTTAAATTTATTTTGGACATTTGTTTTTCAAGATGATATCAAATTATATTGTAGAAAAATAATTAGAATAAGAGCAAGGAATAATGTTTATTAATAATTATTGTTAATAGTTAATAATATAATAATGTTATATAACAAGAATGTTAATAATCATTGTTTAGTGGTTATTTAAAATATTTTCTGCAAGTTGGTGAATTCAATATAACTTCATGACAGTTGAATGAAATTTTAGAAACTGTTTATAAATTTTGTTACATATTATTTCAGTACCTCTACTGGTAATTCTATTTGTTTTCAATGAGATTTAAATTTTGTACTCTTTTACATTGCTGTTGACTGATATTTCAAAATTGGAAACAGATTATGTTTATAAGTCTACATAGATATATACACATATAAGTATATATACATATTTAATTTTTTTCTCTCTTCTGGAGCTTAAAAACAAGCCACATGGTACCATTTCAAGAGTATTAAAACAACCTCCACAAGGTTATCCTTTCCTTCAGATCTTACTTGGCCAGAAGGGACCAAACTTCTCACACTGCTCCCTTGTGAACACTCTTTTTCTTTTTTCTTACACTACCACTTTTTTCCTCTGAATTTACTTAGTCTTTGGGAGAAGACAAAGACTTTTCCCCTTTCCTTTGCTCTGTTTTCTGAAAACAGGCTTGACAACCGTACTTTTAAGTGCTTTTAAGAGTTGTACTACTAAGAACTATATTAAATATAAGAACTAAATGTGACAAATAAAAAGGAAATTACAAAATTTAGAGAGATCTTCTCTTTCAATCCTGTTTCTAAATGCAGATGTAAGACTTTGCATTTTCTTAGTTTTTTCTTTTCTTTTCATCTTATCACCTCCTTTCTTAAGCATTTGATCTTGTGTAGGGTCAACCAGGCTAGATGTTAGATTGAATTCTAGGAGCTGATATAGATTTCCTTTGGCAAGACTTTTAGGTATCTTAATTATTCTAGAATCTATTTCCCATATCATTTGTTTATACTAAATTTGTGTTCAGGTAGCACACACAGATGTACTCAAGTACTCAAGAGAGGGCTTAAGTCTTACCTTTCTCTGAGTTTCTGGCACCCTAATTTAGGAATATATAATGTTCCTTTGCCCCAGACTAGGCAATGGATTCTGTCCTTGCTCCCTGGATGAGAATGAACATTCTCTGGCTGGTCACAAGACCTTATTCACACCCTGATTTCCCTCCCTCCCTTTTCTTGAGATCACAATAATCAGACTCCAAGCTCTTTCTCTTTCTTGACCTTGGTCCATTCTCTTTGACTTGGGTTTATTTGCCTGAGGCAAATATCTTAACAAGGTTATGACAATTAGCTCTGCTTGTGAGAATGAAATGACTTCCATATATTTGGAAGAGGGTTGACTTCCAGTTCTTTGCCTTTGTTGACACACACTCTAGCCAGTGAACAGTGACCTGAGGCATAGTAATAACACCTACCTTCCAGAGTTGTTGTGAGGATCAAATGATATAATATTTGTAAAGCACTTAGCATACTGCCTGGCATAAAGCTTAATAATGCTGGTTTCCTTTCTTCTGGTTTTACAAATAAGGAAAGTAAGGGCCATAGAGGTTAAGTGAAGTAAACACAGTGATAGGACAGAACTGAGACTCTATCCTAGATCTAGTAACACCAATTACAATGATAAGCCATTGTGTGGACTTGTGCAAGCCAATTTTGCTCTCTAGTTCTTAGTTTCTCATGTAAAATGAAAGATTTGGCCATGTTGGTCTCTAAGAAGACTTCCAGCTCTAGGATTCGACAGATCTCTATAAAATAAGGATTTTAAGTTATTTATACATATCTAAGTGAGATAATGTAAGCCCTTGTTTTTTTTTTTTAATGAAACTTACTGAAACAAATCTCTATTTTTAAATGCAGTTCGTCTCTATGGACCAAAATTTATCCTTCAGGTTTACTCATCTCACAACAAATCCTGGTACCCTGTGTGCCAAGATGATTGGAATGATCACTATGGAAAGATAGCATGTAAAGATCTGGGGTATAACACGTGAGTATGACATATCTAATACGTAATTTGTCTTTGATGTCTTTGATGTCCTTACTTGGTCATGAATGGAGAGATGTTTGGACAAGTTTAAGTATGAATGAGCTATAAATAATTGCCAACAGAAATCTATGTCCCTAATAAAGTTGGTGTCAGGGAGGACAACCAACCTGCATTCTGCCTCCTTTTAAACTCTTGAAGACAACCATCATGTGGAAGAGAGATTAAACTTGTTCTGCTTGGTCTAAAATATTAGTATGAGGAATGATGGCTAAAAGTTGCAGTGAAGAAGATGTACAGAAAAACTTTCTAATTGTTGGAGTTATCCAAAAGTAGAAGACTTGCTTTTGGAGGTAGTGGGTTTCTTATAATTAAAGATTTAAAAATGTTTTAATATCAAAGTCATTCCTCTCCCTTCCATCTCATCTCTCTTCTTCATTTAATTGCTTTGAAAGACAGCAAAAACCTCTGATGCAGTGAATATATTTAACAACATGTGCAATATTCTGTCTTTGTAGTCCCTATTCTCTATGCTGTGAAGGAGGAGAGAGTTCGTTATCTTTTTTTCCAGGATCTTCATTTGTGTTTCTGTTACTCAGAATTCAACATTGTTGTATTATTCTCTTAGTTTTGCTTATTTTTCTCCTTGTTCCATTTATTTTGCTTATCAGAGGAGCCAAAACTAGATTACCTATTATCAGGATGATGTAGAGAGGATTACTGTTCATGTAGTGTAGGGGCTGGACTTGGGTCATGGGATTATAAATATAGAGCTGGAAAGCACCTTAATCTAGTGCAACCCCTTTGTTTTAAAGATGAGGTCCAGGGAGGTTAAGTGACTTGCTCAATGTCACACAGGCAATAAGCATAGAGGTAGAACTGACTGGGTCTTACCAGATGACCTACCAGGTTCTCTGACTACAGAGCCAGTGTTTCTCTGTACCACACTGCCTTGTTTGAGGGTTCTTTCCAGTTCTGAGATTCTCTGAAATATTCATTAATTGCCAGTTCTTGTGCATACAACTGACATGAATTAAAAGTCAGAGTCAGTTTCTGGGTGATTAATAATCAGTTTATTAATCAGGCTAGCTGATAATCAATGGACTGATGGTCAGTGGTTTCCAAAGACAAACCATGGAGATCCCTGAATGCTTAAATATGTTTGGAAAGGAAGATGCCCCTGAAAGGTGAAAATCTTGATTTGATGAACAATTAATGAGGGAATGGACATATTAATGAGAAGATCGGCTAAAAGTCTTCAGTTCCTCCCACTGAGAACGTGACTTGATTATGAGACTCAGCCTCCTTCAGCAGTCTGGAAGGAATTCATCTCTATCCAGACCACTTTGGTTGATTTTCTCCTTAATGAGCCAAGGTCCCCTAGACTGCAATGGAGGGATACAAGCACATGGGCTCAGTGGTTTAGGGCTGCAATGTACCTAGATTAGATTCTGTAGATCATTCTAAATAGAAGTAAGGTCCCCTATTTGGGTGGGATCCATTCAAGATCATTGAGCAGGTACCCTGAATATTAGGCCAATCTCATCTGTCAACCTTGTCCTTCAGAGGCTGGCTGAATGACCTACAAGGGTTAGTCTCGAATGAGGAAATAGAAAGGAAAAAACCCTAGTCCTAATTTAATAATTGGTTATTAATATTGTAGAAAAATCATCACTTCCACTGCTGACATCTAACAATATCTTTTTTATGGTCTCAGCCCTCAGTAATTTTAGTTTTAAATAGGGAAATTGCACATGTGCCCAACAGTAAAAACAGTCAAAGTCTGAGCCATATTCCATTTCCAAATGATTGGTTCAGACAAATGCTACATTCAGGTGAAAGAGAGAGAGAGAGATCATTTGTCCAAATTAGAATATTCAGGGAATATTCAGGGAAAGCTTCATGGAATTAATGGGATTTGAACTGGGTCTTGATGGGTAAGCATTAAGTTTGGGATAATGGTATAAGCCATTACACAGAGTGTAGAATATAGAACACAAGAACAGAAAAGGCTTGTTCTGATCTGGTGAATTAGATCAGCCTGGCTACAATGGAGAATTTCTATAGGGTAATAATGAGAGAGAATTCTTGAAAAGTAGGAGTTCTGAGGTCAGAAATGAAGTTGAATTGGCATTTTTCATGTTGTCCATGGGAAGTCAATGGTTGCAAATTTCAGTGAAACCTAGAAGCCAAAAACAGTTGGATATCACCTCCTCACCTGAAGTATGATGCAGTGACTACAACTTGTACATGAAGAGAACAAAACATTGTTTTTATAATGTGTCACATATATATGTATGTGTATACACACACACACACACACACACACACACAATACAATGACTCTTGTCCTCTGAGCAACGATGAGAAAATTTGCCACTCTTCCTTTCATTGAAGAGATGACTGTGAGTAGTGAACACCGTAAGTGTTGTCACACATAGTCAGTGTGTTCATTTTGCTGATTTACAAAATAAATCTGAGACAGTTTGAGTGGTCCTGAATGTTGATTTGCTACAGTGAGAACTATATCTACCCACACTTAACTCATCCCTCTGCTTTGTTCAGTCTATAGAGAGCACTAAGTTCTCAATTAAGGGGTATAGTATATATTTTGGCCACAACATGGACAGTCATGGATCACTTGTCTGGTGTCTTGGAGGCTTTCCAAAAGCCTACAATCTTCCTTACAGTAGCTCACAGGATTTCTTTGTATCTCCAACACTTAAGCATAGGTCCTGGTGCATACTAAGTACTTAATAAATTCTAGGTAAGTCACAGGATTTCACTTTCTCACCCTCCTCACTCCAACCTTGAGTTCCATGTCTATGCCTCCAAATGATTTCAAAACAAAACAAAACAGAACAAAACAGGAAAAGCTCTCATCCCTGCTCTCTACCCTCATCTTGCTTGTGGTGTGAGTGTATGAGGGGGGAAAGTGTGAGGGCCTTTTCATATTTATGACTGATTGAGCCAATTCATCAGCAGTTAGATAGTTTGCTTTTTAATGACCATGTGTTTTTTAAAATACAAGGTAGCTATGAAAATGTAGCATAATAAAACTAATGAAGCTTTTGAAAAGCAAGCCGCAGCAAAACTTCCGTAAACGATTGATTTCTTCTTTCCCCTACAACTTACACATATGGAGAAAGAATAAAGGGAAAGAACAGCTGATTTTGGAACTTAATCAAGGCTGCTTTGGGAACCCTGTGATGAAAGGCAGGGGGAGCACATGTTGGAGGCTAACACAATCTTATACAATTGGAAATTTCATAGCATGACTGGTTCTGTCATTGCTCCCTCAAATGGTTCTTTGGAGTGGTTTCAGTTATCACTTTGCTCTCTTTAGCTTTTCCTTGCCAATGGGGTTTTGGACCAGGTGTCCTGTAGTTCTACATTGACTCAATCTCCTAGTATTTATTAAGTATTTGCTATGTACTGGGAACTATGCTATGTGTTGGGGATACAAGGAAAAGCAAAAGAAAAAAAATTTTTCTGCTCTTAAGGAGCTCACAATCTGCAAACAATATTGCAAACAACAATGTACAAACAAGATATATGTGGGATAAATTGCAGATAGTTTTACAGGGAAAGCAATAAGATTAAGATAGGCTTCTTAGAGAAGGTGGAACTTTAGCTTTGATTTGAAGAAAGCCAAGGAAGATAGGAGATAGAGGTGAAGAGGGAGTGTTCCAGGTACGAGGGACAGCCATGGAATGGTCAGTCAGGAGAGGGAATGTAATGTGTGAAGAATAGCAAGGAGGCCAGTGTTATTGGATCAAAGAGTATGTGAAGGAAATAAGATACAAGAAAACTGAAGAGTAGGAAGGAGCCAGGTTATGAAGGGCTTTAAAAGCCAAACAAAAGAGTTTATATTTGATTCAGGTTGGGAGCCTGGGTAAGTGGGAGGGCAGTAGTACCCTTGCTAGTAATAGAGAAATTAAGAAGAAGGGAGGATTTGGTGGGAAAGATAATGAGTTCATTTTTGTACATGTTGAATATAAAATAATGTTTACACGACTTCCAGTTTGAGAGGCAGTGAAAATGCAGATTAGACATCAGGAGAGAGGTCAGACAAGTAGATCTGATTGTCATCTGCATACAGATGATAATTGAATCTGTGGGAGCTGATGAGATCATAAATAAAATGTTATAGAGAGAAAAGAGAAAAAGGACTTAGGACAGAGTCTTTAGGGACACTCATAGTTAGTGGATATAATGTGTATGAATATCCAGCAAAGAAGAGAGAAGGAATGGTTAGCTAGGTAGGAGGAGAACTAAGAGTAATGTCATGACAATATGAACAAGTTGATGATTGACAGTGTCAGTGACTGCAGAGAAGAGAAGAAGGCTAAGGATTCAGAAAAGGCTATTAGATTTGGCAGTTAAGATATCATTGCAAACTTTGGAAAGAGCAGTTTCCACGGTTTGAGGTCAGAAAAAGGAATGTAAGGGGTTAAGAAGAATATGAGAGGAGAGAAAGTGGATGCATTAATTACAGAACTCATTCTCAAGGATCTTGGCCACAAAAGCATGGAGTGATATGGGATGATACCTAGTGGGTGTGAAAGGAGATCAAATGAGAGTTTTGTTGAGGATGAGCTAGACAAGGGACTGTTTGTATGTAGCAGAAAAGCAGCAAGTAGACAGGAAGAGATTGAAGATAAGTGAAAGAATGGTCATTCTACCGAAGAAAATGGGATGGAATGGGATCATTTGTGCATGTAGAGGGGCTTGCCTTGGTAAGAAGGGCCACCTCTTCATGTGAGGTAAGAGCAGGGGAGAAAATAGTGACAGAAGACATTTTAATGATGTTAGTTGAGGAACAGAGGAAAAGAGAGAGCTCTCCGTGAATGGCCTCAGTTTTTTCAGTGAAATGCGAGGCAAGGTTCTCAGCTGAGAGGGTGCAGAAGAGCAGCTATGGGAAGTTTGTGGAGAGATAAAGGTTTTGGAAGAGCTGCTGTGGTGAGTGGGATAGTAGATCGATTAGGGAGGTGTAAAAGAATTGCTTTGCAGCAGTGAGGTCCTACTTGAGATTTTGTGTCACAAATTTGTAGTGAACCTTTGTGGGGATCATAAGTGCCCAGCCTACAAGAAAGACCAGTGAGGCAGAGCTCAGAGTCAAGGTCACTTTACTAAAGGGCCCATGGGCCCCTCTAATGAAGTGGATCTCAGATCTTCCTCACAGTTTGAGATGCTCCCTTCTTCTAGGACTTTATTTTTATTGTCCATTTGTCCCATTTTACTTTTTAGGGAGTTGTTTTGTTCAGTGTACTTTTTTTCCATCTTGTTAACTGTATTTTTTTAAATTTTTTTTAATTTTAAATTTTTTTTATTTTTTAGTGAGGCAATCGGGGTTAAGTGACTTGCCCAAGGTCACACAGCTAGTACATGTCAAGTGTTTGGTCTGAGGCTGGATTTGAACTCAGGTCCTCCTGACTTCAGGGCCAGTGCTCTATCCACTGCACCACCTAGCTGCCCCTTGTCAACTGCGTTTTTAAAGGAATTGTTCAATTTTTCTTGTACCTCCCTTATTTAACTTTTAAAATCCTCCTTGAGCTCTTCCAAGAAGGCTTTTTGGGCTTGAGGCCAGTTCATATTCCCCTCTGAGGTTTCAGATGTGAATACTGACAATGTTGTCCTCTCCGGAATTTGTGTTTTGATCTTCCTGTCACCAAGATATTTCTCTATGGTCACTGTTTTTCTGCGTTGCTTTTTGCTCAAGTTCTTTGCCTTCTTTCTGGCTTTTAAAGTTGATCTCTGCTTCTGGGGCCCAGGGGGCACTGTACCAGGCTTTCTTGTGCTGGGAACTAGGGGTCTGGTTACTAGTTTGCTGAGGTGGGGCTTGCCACTGTCTTGCTGGGTCCTTTCCTATACTGGTCCCCTTCAGCCACAGCAAGAGGGTCCTTTCCCATTAATCCCCCTTGCCCCGGGAGCTAAAAGGCTGTTATATCTAGTCTTTCTGTTGACTCTACTATTTCAGGATTTTTCCTGGGGCAATATTCTCTGGGTTTTTCAAGGTCAATAAGGGAGGGTGAAAGCTACTTACTGCTTATTCTGCCGTCTTGGCTCCTGAAAGTCTAAAAAGGTGACTTTCAAACATTCAGTCTGTGGGCTAATATTAGCTCTAGAAGCAGCCGCTACTGCTGCTTATTCAGTCACTCCCAAGGCCTGTTCCTGGTTTGCTGGTGCTGGAGTTGTATTGGTATGCCATGCAGCTCTACGCTGGACTGTGCTTCTCTCTCACCCAATTCTGATAGGCCCCTCCCACTGACCTTCTAAGTTGTCTCTGTGGGCTGAGGAAACTGGAAACTGCCACTGCTTTTGGTAATTCAGTACCCCCAGGCCTGCTCCGGCTTAGCTTAGGCTGGGTCTGCACAGCACCCTGCATGCTGGATGGTCCTCTCTCAGGCCAGTGTAACAGACCTTTCTTGTTGACCTTCCAGGTCGTCTTAGGCTGGAAATCTGCCTCACTCTGTCTCTTTGTGCCACCCTAGAATTTTTTCAGAGTCACTTTTTAGAGGTATTTGGAGAGATTTGAGTGAGAGCTCATGTGAGTCCCTGCTTTTACTCTACCATCTTGGCTCCTACCCCAGGGCTTTATTTTAATAAAGCTTGATACCAGTTTGATACTTGAACATTCTAGAGGTGCTATACAAAGTATAGAATCCCTTTGGTTGATTGACCTTGCTTAGTGTGCCAAAAATGATCCATTAGCTAGAAATGGTATGTTAGTGAGCATGGGGCATCTCCACTGACTAAGTGGTCATAAGATAGTTACTTCCTCATGTTGGACAAGAGAGAATGGTTTGGAGGTACAAAAATAAGTTGGGGGACTTACCACTTAATTGAGTCACCTCTGCCACACTGAACTTGGTCACCGTAACAAGAGAAAACAAGGGTGGAGTTCCTCTAGTTGGCTTCCTATGATTAAGTGAGTGAATTTACCATCTGCAATTCACAGCTCTGGGGCCTAATGTACAGAACTTATAATCACTACCCCTATGGAATCATATCAAACTGATTAATACTGATTGGTATAGAGTATGGGTCCAAATGAATTAATTCTCACTCCTTGTCAGCCCAATGATAATAGCGTGTAATTTTCTCTAGCTTTGTTCAGTATCACATGAGAAAGAGTGAAGGTATTGGATGGGGGGGAGTAATCCCAGGCTGAGATTGGACAGGGCAAGATTTTTGTTAGAGGCAAGAGACTTGAGAAAAGTGTATAGAGTATACAATATAGAATTCGGTGGGTTCACCAAAGGTTCAAGATGGAGAAGGAAACAGAATGTAGTAAGTGCAGGGGTGACGGTCTGGAAAAGATCAGAGCATTTAGAGGGAGGATTTAGAAGTTGTGGTGAAGACAAAGAACAGGGTTTGGAGTTACAAGGGTAAGGGAAAGGTGGAATGATAACAGATTATGATCAAATAAAAGGCATTTTAAAAATCACAAACATGGGTGTGGAATATTAGTGGACGATGACAAGATCAAGAGTATGATCTTGTCATCTTTGTGTATGGCAGAGGTGGGTTGAGGACAAGGTCATAGGAGATGAGTAAAATGAGGAATTGGGAGGTTAGATTGTTTGAGTGAGTAGCAATATGATGTCAAAGTCCCCTGGCATGATGGCTGGAGTTGGGGAGAAGATCAAGACCATAAACTAGACACTGAATTCATCAAGGAAGGAAGGAGATTGTTCTGGAGGTCTGTAGATCATAGCCACCAAAATCTTGATTGGGTGATAATTATGGATTGGATAAAGTTTTACTGAGGATGGTGGTAGGAGAGCCTGGAAGTAGCAATGGTGAGCAAGAAGTCTTCCAACTCCTTCACCATGGCTAGTGAATCTGGGGTTTCAGTGAACTTACAACAGCACTGGAAAGGTAGTCAGGGAAGCTGTGTCATCAAGTCAAGTCTCAGTGAATGAAAGAAGACAGAGGGAGCAAGACAGGAAAAAGGTATAAAATGAAAGCTAGTTTATTACCTGTGGATCAGGTATTCCACAGAGCACAGTGGAAAGATTAGGTAGCTTTAGAGTTGGAAGTTGAGTGTGGGAGTTGAAAGGATGGAAGTAAATGAGAGTTGGAGAATGGAGTTTGAACAATGGCAACTGGTGGTTTAGAATCCCTGAGATGGAGTGGGAATCCTTGAGGTTTGAATTCAGATAAGGTTTTGGCCTTGGTTAACATTGTCACAGGCCATCTCTGTGTGACTGGAAAGCAGGAGAAAGGGGGAAAGTATGGAAGGTATCCAGATGAGGAACAAGGCAACTTCTGTGGAGGTTTAGGTAGCCGGAAGAGGTGCTTAGTGAAATCTAAGAATGATTGAGTGACTGCTTAAAGAGGCAGTCTTAGGCAAAGTAATTTCCAATTCCTTGAAAGGAAAGAAGTAATGACTGACAGTGTCTTTCTCCAGTCAAAATGAAATACTCAAGGGGGCAGCTAGGTGGCACAGCACTAGAGCACTAGCCCTGAAGTCAGGAGGATATGAGTTCAAATCCAGCCTCAGACCAAACACTTGACACTTAATAACTGTGTGACCCTGGGCAAGTCACTTAACCCCAATTGCCTTAAAAAAAATGAAATAGGTCATGGGCAGTGTTAAAATCCCAATCCAAAAATTTCTCCCTTCTAATTTCTCACTTGAGCTTCTCTCTTAACCTTCATGGGGGGGAGGATAGGGGAATGGTCTCAGGGGTCTCCACCGCTGAAGCATGAGGAAGGAAAAGAGTTGTCTCTTTCCTCACTTCCCATCCCCCATCTGAAGTCAGATTCCTCTTATTCCCAGACAAAATTGGTACCTTACGATGCAGTGTTGTTTTTACTTGAAACATTACAATTTGAGTTATTTTCTGGTCCAGCTCATTTTGCTTCAGCTCTGATTACCTTCTGCTACTCCTAACTGCAGCCACTTTGAAGGAAAGAAGTAGTTTTCAGTGGGATTTCTAGTTTTTCAACTTTGACCACTGAGAAGGAAAGAAGTGCAGATGTGGGACCATGCATCTATGAAGTAGCCAAGGGGCAGGGTGGGAATTTTGGGGACTGCATATGAAAACCCTTGTACTTTTTGCGTGGTGTCATGCTGTTTTGAATGGGAAGAGAGGGGGGTGTATATTCAGAAAGCAAACTTAAAGAACAAAAATAAAAACGTGCTGCTATATTTGCTATACTCGTTTTTTTTTTTCTTTTCTTTTTGGCTAGGCAATTGGGGTTAAGTGACTTGCCTAGGGTCAAACAGCTAGTAAGTGTCAAGTGTCTGATCTGAGACCAGATTTGAACTCAGGTCCTCCTGACTCCAGGGCTGGTGCTCAGTCCACTGCACCACCTAGCTGCCCCTTTTTTTTTTTTTTTTAACCAGGCTGTTTTCCCATAGTCTTTTGGGATACTGCAAAGTCTTTTCCATGTGGAAATCTTCAAAACCAATTCTTTATACTGTGCAAAACTTGCTATTACATGGTGAAGTATTTTTAAATGAATAAAAACATGCAGACTTTAAACAGAGAGACTTAGTTGAATTTTAAGATGATCATTGTTAAATTTCTATGGGATTTTGATCAGAAAAGTGTATTTTGTTACATATGTGATTCACAGTTTGGACATACCAATTTATTATTTTCCCAATACATTATTAATTTTTTTCTTTTCTTTCCTGGAACACCAAAGTTATAGAGCTCTTATTTACCATTTGGGGCTGATGAAATTAGGTTATGATTTAATTTTTGAAGGGCGAGTATATGACTGTGTGTTAAGATTTTGGATATGAGATTGTTGTTTTAACTCAGTGTATCAATATAATAGGCTTTATGAGATAAAAGAAGATGTGATTACTTATGATGAAGACTGATGTTGAATTTGATTTTTTTTTTTCCAGGAATAGTTTTTACTCTAGTCGAGGAATAACAGATGATAGTGGTGCCACAAGCTATATGAAGTTGAACCTGAGTGCTGGAAATGTAGATTTGTATGAAAAACTCTACAACAGGTAGACAGACCCTCTACAACGGTGTTCTTTTTTTCTTCTTCGAAAAATGCCATATTGGGGACAGCTAGGAAATGCAAAGAATAATATGGAGAAATTGTATGATGTAATTTCCTTTATGGATAAACCCATTATTAGGAGAATATTGGTGTTTAACTAGGTCTGATCTGAGAAGCTATTCATTTAATTGTTTTAACTTATCTTACATTTCCATTTACTCCCTGTCATGCCTGTTCTTCAAATTAAGTAATGGCCAAATAATTCAAATTTATAAAGGGCTTCATGGTCATCATACTTTAGTCCTTGCAACATTCATTTAGTCTATACAACAGCCTTATGAGGTTGACAGTACACAATAGAAGTTCTATCATTTCACAAATGATGAAAATGAGTCTCAGTGACCTGCCAAAGGGCTTCTTGCTATTAAGTGGCCCTTACTTACACCTTAAATTTAGATCATCTGAACCAAATTCATGTGCCCTTTCTTCCTCAGTATTCTGCGTTGCCTAGGGAAAAATTCTTATCATAATAGCAAAAAAAAGGGTAACATTTAAATACCACTTACTATGTGTCAGATACTATGCTAAGAGCTTTAGAGGTGTCTCATTTAATCCTCATTACAACCCTGCAACATACACACTATTATCCCCAGTTTACAGAAAAAAGAAACTGAGGCAGTCAGATTAAATGACTTTCCCAGGGTCACACAACTAGTAATAGTAATAACAATTAGCATTTATATAGCACCTACTGCATGCCAAGCACTGTGCTAAAAGTTTTACTATTATTATTCCATTTGATCCTCACAACACCCTACTAAGTAGGTGCATTTCTCCTATTATACAGAAGAGGAAACTAAGGAAACGGGTTAAGTAACTTGCCTAGGGTCATATAGCTAGAAAGTGTCTAGAGGCTAGATTTGGACTTAGGTCCTCCTGACTCCAGGTTCAGAGCTCTAAAATTGTTAATACCATAATAAGTTGTGAATTTAAGTGTGCTGTTGTTACAGTAAAGAAACTAGAACTCCAGAAGGAAAGTATACTAAGGACAGTTTGGTAGAATAGAAAGTTGCTGAATTTAGAGTTAAGTTTCTGAGTTCATTTCCAAGGTTGGCAGCAAAATCAGTTCACCTCTCTGGGCCTCATTTTCCTCCTCTGTAAGATGTGGTGGTTGGACTAGATGACAGGTGATCTCTTTTAGATCTAAATCTATGTTTTTATAGTTATAGGTTAATTTTTAACCAGGATGGTGAACTGAGTTCCCTTAAGCCCTAATATACTTTGAAATAGATATTGCCCTACTTACCTGGAAGAAGTAATTTTATATTTCTGTAAGTTGTATGTCCTTAATAAGGAAAAGGGTAATATTTTTTTCAAATAAAAAGGGTATTCCCTCCTGAATGTGGTTTTAAAAAATAAAACAAAACCTTTTCTGCCTTTTATGAACTTTATTTACTCCCTAATTCATTTTGTTTCTATGAGAGTTACTACTGATGTTGGTGGTAAGCATCCTAATTCTCCTTTATGATGAGTGGAAAGCTTGGGAGTGGAATTGTATATCAATCTGGATTCCTAGTTCCATTCTCACATAGAAAATAAATAAGACTAGCATAGCCTTGAGGAAAGTAATATGCACATGTCCTAGTACGTCCATTTATAAAAGCCTGATTTATTAGGTTACACATCTAACAAACAAAGCACAATTGGTGGACTAGTTATAAACTTTGAGTGGCTGCCTACCCTGGTTACACAGTCAGTTCTGCAGGCAAGAAAAATCAATGCAGGGAAGGGAGAGGAAAGCAGGGAAAGGAGGGAGGAGAGAGAGAGAGAGAGAGAGACTGAAAGATCTTTTTACACAAGTCCATTGATACACAACATTCATCCCTCATTGATATAGCTAGAGTCTATCTACTGTGACTTTAACAATAATAACTGTTAAACTAATCTCTTTATTTTGAAAACTTTTTAATTTTAGAGTTTCTTACTTTATACAAACAGAATTCTGTACTTCTTCTTATTCCCCAGCATGGAGGAATTGGTCATTCTCTCATCTTAAAGCATGTATGTTGGCCTCCCAAGTATAGAATTCTGATTTTATTTTGCTTTTCTCCAAGAAAAATGATTGGTTTTATTGTTTACATTTAGGGATGGCATCAACATTATGAACACAACTGCTTGAAAATAAATGTCTTCTTTGAGGAATAGTACAAGAGGACCCTAGAACCCAGTACTCTCATTTGAGTAATTTTTTATGAATGAGAAATATATTTTTTTCTATTTCATTTTGTTTATTGTTGGGAGTTAAGAAAGAGAATATTTGAAAGAATAAAGATTTTCTTAAATATTCTGGAAACGATGTTCATAATTTATGACAATCATTTTTGTTCTTCTTCCCTAGTAATGTCTGTTTCTCAAAAACGGTGGTATCTCTCCGATGCATAGGTTAGTACTTTTAATTTTCTTTTTCCTGGAACAGAATGTCATACTAATTGTATTTAATACTTCTTAGAAAGTCTCCTATCAAAATAATGTATTGGAAAATAGCATAATTGAAAACAGTCCTAGAAAATAAGGCATCAGTAGCAACTCAAGAAGCCCTCTTGAATAATAGAATTTCAGTCTGTGCATTAAAGAAGATCAAAGGGAAATGGACATCTTGGACACCTGAGATCTCTTAGGGGCAGTTTGCCACTGTAGCTTCTTGAGTTAGAAGAGTGAGGTGGTCAAACCTCTACTTTAAGAAGATTACTTAGGATTACTTTAGGAAGATTAGCTGTCTGAAGTATAGATGGGAGAAGGGAAAGATGATAGAAACAGAGATACCAGTTAGCAGGCTGTTTCCATAGTCCAGACGAGATAGATGTTGAACTAAAGTGATCTCTGTGTGAGTGGAAATAATGTAAATAAGAGATATTGGCAAGGTAGAATTGCTAAGAATTGGCCACTGATTGGATAGGGATAATGTTGAAGATGAGGGAAGATTGAAGGATGACTCTGAGATTGTGAATCTAGATGACTGGAAGGATGGTGGTACCCCAAATTAAGAGGATGGAGTATTTAGAAACCGTAATGTAATACGAAGAACACTGGATTTAGGAGGCAAAAGGCAAGGAGATTTGCCCTACTAAGAGCAAGTCACCTCATTTGAAATAAATGATACCTCACATTTTAAGGCAGCAAGATGGCACAGTGAATAAAGAGCCAACCCTGAAATCAGCCTGGAATTGGGAAGATTTGAGTTCAAATCTGGCCTCAGACTCTTACTAGGTGTGTGACTCTGGGCAAGTTATTTAACCTTCTTTGCCTGAGTTCCTCATCTGTAAAATGAGCTGGAGGAGAAAATGGCAAACGAGTTTTGCCAAGAAAACGTCAAATGAGGTCACAGAGTCAGACTTGACTGAACAACAACAAAAACCACCTCACATTTTATTATGCTCTGAGATTTGTGAAATGTGGATGTTTGTTCTGTCAGGTTGATAATGCAACTATCAATATTCCCATTTTATGAATGAGGAAGCTCTGGCTTTGTGGTTAATAGCTACCACAGTGTGGATGCTTGCATGATAGACAATGTTCTAGAGAATCACAGTCATTAATTTATATTAGTATTAGTATAATATATTACATTAGTATTAGTATTTTTCATATGGGGTTCACAAGAGACTGTTGAGATACTGTGATGGAGGTCCTTGTAGGTTCCACACTCATTCTCTAGTACACATAGAGAATAGTTGTCACTAAGATGATTGAGCAGGTGCTGGATTATGAGCTGATATAGACTAGAAAGAAAACTTTGACACAACAAAGTACAGCTTCATGTTCTGTGACTTAGTTGAAGCATTTTAGTGTAATAGCTTGAAATACTCGAACCAGAGATAGGGTAAATAATTGAGAGAAGAGTAAGTAGGGATACACACAGCTTTTTTATTTAATTTTTTAAAATTAATTTATTTTTAGTTTTCAGCATTTATTTCCATAAGCTTTTGAGTTTTAAATTTTTCTCCCCTCCCTCCCCAAGATGGCATGGAATCTGATATAGTCTCTTTTAAACATATTTTAACATTAGTCATGTTGTAAGGAAGAATTGGAACCAATAGGAGGAACCACAAGAAAGAGAAAACAAAACAGAAGAAAAAAAATAGCAAATAGCATGTTTCGATCTGCATTCAAACTCCATAGTTCTTTCTCTTGATGTGGATAGCATTTTCCATCATGAGACTTTTGGAGATGTCTTAGATCCTTGCATTGCTGAGAAGGGCTAAGTCTATCAATGTTAGTCATCAAACAACATGGCTGTTACTTGCACACAGCTTTATTCCATCTATTTGTTTACCAAACAGCTATCTGTAAGAGAACAAAGAACAAAACATTGAGCACACAAGGTTGGGTTTTCTACCTGCTTTGAAATGTCTAGGTGTCATATTTAACAATAAATAAATAAATACACAACAAATAAATTCATCAAAGCCATACTGTATTTTCATTGGATATCTATTGAAAGCAGTAATGGCTTTATTTCAGACCAAGAAATAGATTGGTTTAGGTCAGAGAAAGGTCAGAGATGGAGTTCCTATTCCAGGCAAAGTGAAAAGTCATTTTTTCATAAAAGTTTCACTGATTCCCTATTATTTATAGGATAAAATACAAACTCCTCATGAAATTTAAGTTCTTATTACAATCTGACTCCAACCTACTTTGTTATCATTATTTCACACTACTTCTTTTCATGTCTGATGCATTCTAGAAAACTGGACTATGAGCAGTTTTCTGATCTCATCATGAATTCTCTCCTCCTTGCTCATGTAAATCAGAGATTCCCATACTTATTTGACCAACTGCCCCCTTTAAAAAAAATTACTCAACACCCTCCTGGAAATCTACTTTGTTTAACCCTTTAATGTTTTTTTAAAATTTGCATCATTTCAAAAAAAATAAGATATATTTTTTTAAAAATGACACATATTAAATTTAATAATTTATTATAAATTTGTGAGTTTTTTCCTGAATTGAAATTTTGATAATGCAATATTGTATCATGTAACTGTATAGCATTGTAATGTAAACAAATCATTACATGCACATATTCCTGCCAATGCATGCTAGACATCCCAACAGTATGTGGTATGCTTACCTGCCAACACTTGCTTGTTAAGTCCTGTTGGCAGACCTGACCACTGATCGATTATAACTTGCATTTTATGTGCTTATTTGGAAAATAATGTAATCACTACAACTTTAATTCTATTACACAGCAGGTGAAACTTATGGATGGTTTTTCAAATTTTTCTTATCTTCTCTTATTTCCTTATGCTTCCATCACCCCCTTATTTATATTTAGTGCCCCCCCATTGCACCTGAGGCTACTACCGTCGCCATCATTCCAGAGTCTGCCATGGGATAGTATTGCCCACTTTGGAAATCTCTGATGTAGATCCATACCTTTAAACATTCTCTCCTTAGCTTTTCAGATGTTTGAAAAAAGGAAACAGATTACATAAATCTGTCCGTCCACCTTCCTCTTTACTAAAACAAAAATTCTTTTATGGAAAGTCACACTCAGGTCTGCGAAACTGTTTTTGTTGATGCTTAAGGTTCATAAATGTACTAAGTGGTTTATATTTTAATTTTTGCCTTTAGAATGTGGCACAATGACGAAAGTGAATCAACTGAACAGAATTGTAGGTGGGACAAATGCTGCTCCAGGGGAATGGCCATGGCAAGTCAGCCTTCATGTCCAAGGTGTCCATGTCTGTGGTGGCTCTATCATTACTCCTGAATGGATTGTAACAGCAGCTCATTGTGTGGAAGAGTAAGTATTTAATCAGTCATTCTGAGGAGCTCTTGTATTCCCATCACTTTCCCTGTTTGAGCTGTGTGTTCACTCAGAGTTGTCAAAAGAGGATCAGAACTGTAATTCTCGGATTGGTTAAAGTTATGTTCATCCTTGTTAAGGGATTTAAGGAAGAGAAATTTGCTTTGTACTTGATCTGGAAGAAAAACAACTTGTGAATTCAATTATTTTATTTATTTTTTCCTCAAGAGTTTGTTTACCTTGTTAAAGCTTTAGAATCATCTCCCTACATGCCCAGTGACTGATATAAAATTACAGAGCGGGAAAGGATTTAGAAATTCAGGAGAACCATTCGTTGAGCCTGTAAGACTCACAAATGAAAAAAAAAATTAATTTGGGCCCCAGAGAACTTACCATTTTATTGGAGGTGAGGAAATGTAGCAAATGTTGTCCTTCTTGTTAGACTGTGAGCTCCTTGAGGGTAGGGACAGTCTTCATTTCTTTGTATCCTCAACACTTAGCACAGTGCTTGGCGTATTGTTGTCAGTGTTGAGTTATTTCAGTTGTGTCAGACTCTTTGTGACCTTGTTTGGGATTTTCTTGGCAAAGACACTGGAGTGGTTTTCCATTTCCTTCTCCAGCTCATATTACAGATGAGGAACTGAGGCAAACAGGGTTAAGTGACTTGCTCAGGGCAGCTAATAAGTGTCTGAGGCCAGATTTGAACTCTGGTCCTTCTGACTCCAGGGCGAGATCTATGCTCTGCACCACCTCGCTGCCCCAGGCTTGGCACATAGTAAGCAATAAATGTTTATTGGCTGACTGACCACTCATTTGTTGATCTATTTTTAAAATCAGCACCAAATTGTTTTAATGATTACTGCTGTGTAGCATAATTTGTGATCTGGCATTGTTATGCTCTCCCTTCATTTCTGTATCTTTTCATTAATTTATCTTGAGATTTTTGATCCTTTTTTCTTCCACATAAAGTACTCCTTTGGTAGCTGTTATCAATTGATTGGTATGGCATTGAATAAGTAAAGTATTGTATGTTATGTTGTCATTTTTATTATTTTGGCTTATCCTACCTATTAGTACTTAATATTTTCCAATTATTTAGGCCTGTTTTTATTTTTGTAAATAGTTGTTTTTGGCTATATTGTGTATATTTTGTTCATGTATTGGAAAATATTTTATACATTCGTTAATAATTTTAAATGGAATCTTAAAAATTTATTTTAAATTACATCATTATTAAATAACTACCTTGATAAAGTTAGTTGTTTCTAGACCCATACTACCCTCAAAAGATCTCCTATTTACTCTCTCCTTAGATTGTACAGAAATCCCCATCTTCCTTTTTAAAACATTGTTTTATTTAACACTTTCATAAAAACAATTAATCTTATAAGTTGAGCCTTTTTTGCATGTTGTCTCCCCCATTAGAGTGTGAGCTTCTTGAGGGCAGGCAGGGACTGTTTTTGCCCTTATTTGAATCCCAAATGCTTAGTAAAGTGCTTAGCACTAATACTTGTTAAATACAAAGGCCCTACTTCATGGATTAAAGAGTCACTTTTTGACAAAATCTTATGGGAAAATTGGATAGCAGTATAGAAGAAATAAGATTTATTCTAATACCTTACAAATATACAAAGCACCTCCAATATTAAATGTCATATCATAAAGCAATTAGAAAAAGTTAGAAAAAAAGTTACCTGTCAGATCAATGAATAGGATAAAAATTCTTGATCATCAGAAGAAAAAAATGGATAATTTTGATTGTATAACATTTTTTAAGTTTTTGCATAAACTTTTAAAGGGAAAAATTAATTGGAAAAAATCTTTGTATTAAATTTCTCTGATAAAGGTCTTATTTCTTTTTTTAAAATTAATTTATTTGTTTTTGGTTTTCAACATTCACTTTTATAAGATTTTGAGTACTAAATTTTCTCCCCTCTCCTCCCCCTAAGATGGCATGCAATCTGATATAGGATACACATGTACAATTATATTAAACATATTTCCATATTAGTCACATTATAAAGAAGAATCAAAACCGATGGGAAAAACCATGAGAAAGAAAAAACAACAACAAAAAAGAGAAAATGGTATGCTTCAATCTTCATTCAGACTCCATAATTCTTTTTCTGGATGTGGGTAGCATTTTCAATCATGAGTCTTTTGGAATTGTCTTAGATCATTGCATTGCTGAGAAGAGCTAAGTCTATCAAAGTTGTTCATCACACAATGTTGCTGTTACTGTGTACAGTGTTGCTTCTGGTTCTGCTCACTTCACTCAGCATCAGTTCATTTAAGTCTTTGCAGATGCATGCTCATCATTTCTTGTGAAACAATAGTATTCTATTACATTCATGTACCACAACTTGTTCAGCTATTCCCCAATTGATGGGCAACCCCTCAATTTCCAATTTTTTTTAACCACTACACAAAGATCTACTAAAATATTTTTGTACATGTGGGTCCTTTTCCCATTTTTATGATCTCTTTGGGATACAGACCTAGAAGTAGTATTGCTGGATCAAAGGGTATGCACAGTTTTATAGCCCTTTGGGCTAAAGGTCTTATTTCCAAGAGTGATGAAGAACTGATTAAAATTTATAATAAAAAATAGTCAATCCCTAGTTGATAAATAGTCTTTATATGTGAAAAAACAGGTAACAAAGGAGGAAACCTGGTCTATATATAGCCATATTTTTTTTAAAAAAACATGTTCCAGATAAGTTAATTGGAGGAAGTCAAATTAGTATGACTAATAATTTCACATCAATCCATTAGACTGAAACATGTTATCCATTACAGATGATGGATTTATAATGCAAAATGAGATTTTTTTTTTGTAAATAGCCTTTGAGGGAATGTTTTGGTTGACTGTATATATTTACAGCAATAAATTAGTTTTTCTTTCTTTCTTTTTTTTTTAGTTGGGGTGAGGGTGGGAATGGGAGGGAGAGAAAATAGATACCTGTTAACTAAAAAAAATAGAGAGGCAGGAAGGGATGCTACAGATGGGAAATGTTGCATGCGCTTTCAGATGAAGTATTATTAGTTTTATTTAACTGTTTTACTTTGTTATCAGACACCTCTCATGAAGTAGATGTAATCTGTAAATGTAAAAAACAAAATACATCCATAAAACTTTAAAAAAAAATACAAGCACAACATTCTTGATAAAAGACATTGCACAATTTTCCCTGTTTTCCATACTAGGTGTGGTTTCTGTGTGGTTTGTTTGTTTTAAACTACTTGTAAATGTTTAAATCTCTTGCCTAAGGACTTGGCTTAAACTTTTACAGCTAGTTAGCATCTCTAAATAACTTGACTACCCCAGTCAACTTTCTTTTCTTGTTCTCAACAATCCCACACCAACTCAACACCTTCACTTTCATCTTACCCCACCCACCAATCCACTCTGAATTGGCTTCACCTTCTAATCATTGCATTTATCTTTTTTTTCTTTTACTTACTGTGCTTTTTCTTGCCAAGTTCTCTTTTTCTTCCATAACTCCCTCTTTGGTTTCTACTCCTCAATCATCTTTGATCCTTTTTCTCCCTTTACCCTCCTGTTACCCTTCATCCTATTCCTCTTTCATCCAGAAAATAGAATTAAGACCTAGAGATTGTTCTTTACATTTTCTTCAATTTCTACCAAATTTCTCCTCCTTGAATTCAATTCCTGGCCCATTTCACTAGTCTAAACCCTTCCAAATTATCTGAATATTTTCCACTTTTTTCAGGTGAAAGTCATTTTGTCTTCTACTGTTCTTTTTGCTGTGACTCCTGAAGCTTTAGGTAGACTTGATCTCTTGGGTCCTCAGTTTTCTCATCTGTAAAATAATGGGGTTGGACATTGATATCTAATGCTCCTTCAAGTTTCATCATCCTATATGTTTATGCTATTGGACTTTTCTAAGAGAAGGAAAAATATATTGATGGATATTTTTAGTTGAGCAATTGGAATTATAGGTGTAGACAGGGAAAAGATTGGACTTGTGATTTCATTGGTATGCTCTACCAGAGCAGGCCAGCACCTACTCTGCCCTGTGTGGTCTTAGATAAATACCTAGAATAGGATGAGATTAAGTGGCTTGACCAGTGTCATACAACTGGTATGCATCAAAAGCAGGACTTGGGTGAAGATCTTACTGGCTTTGAGGTAGGTCTCTATCCATTATAATAAATGTAATCTATTAATATCCCAAGGTCCTAGAATCTGGTATTGGAAGGAATCATAGGTGTTGAATTGAAGTACTTTGCAAACCTTTGAGTGTCTGATAAATTTTGTTAGTTGTTATCATCATCATCATCCTCATTATAATTATCATAGCAACCCTGACAAGTAGTCATCTACTCTTTTCTTAAAGATCTACAGGTATAGGGAAATTACTTCTTCCATTTAATTTTTTATATAATTCCTTATACTGATCTGAAATCTACCATTCTAAAACTTCTACCCATTGGGGTTAATTCCTGAGGTCAGGTAGAATAACATTTATATTTGAAATTCCACTGATAGTGATCATACTAAAACTTTATGGTCTCCGTTTTAAAAATAAACTAGATAAAGAATAATAAAAAAAACACATATACAACAAAACTAAGAGAGATGAATAACACTTAGGCAGGCTATTGATTACAGATTACAGATTGAAATGCTCTAAATTTCTGAAATTTATAGTAAGGTCTAAGTAATAGTTGTAATAGTCAAGATTTTTTTTTTAATTTTTAGCCTTCATTACCCATCTTCTACATTCTCCTTGCCTGTATGTAGCCCTCTCTGTTGTTATGTAGGCAATAGCAGTCTGTGGTAACATATACTGATTTGTTATGGTAAGAACTCATTTGGTTCTTATAGATGTGGTACTTTTTTTTTTTAAGATGTTCAGATTAGTGTTTAGATTCACTATGCTCGAGATTCCCTTGATTCATTTTTTTCAGACCTCTTTCCAATTCCCGGTATTGGACAGCATTTGCAGGAATTTTGAGGCAGTCTGTGATGTTCTATGGAAGTGGATATAAAGTGCAAAAAATAATTTCTCATCCAAGTTATGATTCTAAAACTAAGAATAATGATGTTGCTCTAATGAAGCTGCAAACACCATTCGTATTTAATGGTATGTATTTACTCTTGTCCACTTTACAGGATATAATAATTTAGTGTAAAGAATATTTTGAATGAATCTCAAAAAAATTAAAGAAAGTTTTCTGTTAGTAGGAAAGAATTTAAGATGGATTTTGCAAGGAGAAAACCCTCCCCTCCCGCTCACTCCTAAATAGCAGTTGACAATTTCAGTTGTTTTTCTGACATCACCTGAAAGAATGACCTTATTATTGCTATGGTTATGGGATTCCCCTTGCTCCTCAATTCATTAAGTTAGTACTATGTGCCAGGCACTGTGTTATGTGCTGAATACTACAAAGAAAAAAGCAAGTACATTCCCTGCTCTTAAGAAGCTTACATTCTAATGGAGGGAACAGCATGCACATAGATTGGTACATATACAATACATTCAGAGTAGATGGAAGGTAACTATAGAGGGGAAGTCACTAGCATCTAGGGAGACCCACAAAGACTGTGCTGAGCCTTAATGGAAGCTAGAGATTAAGGCATAGTTTATAAGGGAGAATATTCCGGGCACATGGGATGTGGGTATTGTACTTCATCTAACTCTTACCTATTTTCACAAAGATGCAAAGGCAACGGGATCATAGGATCACAGATTTGGAGCTGGTAGAGACATGACAGGCCATTTACTTCAACCCCCTGATTTTACAGATGAAGAAACTGAAGCCCAGGGAGGTTGTCACAGGTTAAATGGCAAAGTGGATATTTAAACCATGTCCTCTAACTCCATATAAAGCATACTTTCAACTGAAATCATGAAGCCAGAGTATAGGAAATAGTATTTTGAAGCTAATTTGAAGCTATTTGGACTTTTCATTGTGTGCTTTTAGAAACAGTCCTAATACATAATATAATTTGTAACAAGGACAAGGGAAAAATATCCCTAACCTTCTTACGTACTTTGCTTTATTGTTATTCTATTGTTTCCTACTGCAAATAGGGATGTGACAGTGGAGGTATGAACTTGGAATTTTTTTTCATTAGTCATTCAACAGACATCAAACGCTTACTATGTGCAAAGCTTATATTAGGTACTGGGGAAAATAAAAAGCTTAGGTAAGACACGGTCCCTTTCCTTGTGGTGATTATAAAATATGTAAAATATGTTCATCTTAGAGGATGGTGACACTCTTGTGGTGCCCAACTGTATTTCTTCGAGGAAAAAGCGGTAGAAGAAATGGTCTTTCTTCTGACCATTTCACAAATGTGAGAATGGACTATCATGTTTTATGCTCTTATTTTAAAACAGAAAAAATAAGACCAGTGTGTTTGCCTAACCCAGGAATGATGTTTGAACCCACTCAGTTATGCTGGATATCAGGATGGGGTGCAACCTATGAAAAAGGTGAGATGGTCGTTTCTAAGAAGTAATGATTTGGGGATCACATTTTAGTTAATGGGTGATTTATCAAGGAATGCAGTCAAAATATTTTGGCATATATAACTGCTTCATATGCATATAATTAATATAGACTATTGATAAACCCAGAATTATAGGTCATGATAAAGCAGAAAAAACACAAAGGTAAAGAAAGTTAAGCTAACTTAAAGTCAAGTTTCTAAAGGACTGGCCCACCATGGTGGGAGGGTTGGGGTGGAGTTTGCTAGCAGGATTTTTGAGATGGGGAGTAGAGTCTGTGATTGTCTGTTTCTGACATAAACAACTTGGAATGGCTTAGAATCAGCAAAATGGAACCAGAAAAATAATGGAATTACTAAAAATAAATGTTAGCAGCATTTGTGTATAATTGATGTTCTAAGGCCAGACTCCTTGTGCCTTAAGTATCTAATATGGTGTAGAGTATGGGCCAAAATTGAGTCTGGTGAATCTAATAATGTGACTTTTTGAGAAAAGGCATTGCAATTCATTCAGTAACTATGATTCATTTTATTGTTAGGGACAAAGTCCCAAGTTTTGTGTTTTATTTCCCCCTGTCCCACAACTTTTCTGTATCAATTTTGCTTTCTTTTCCTAAGGTTTATTTTCCATTCCTGCTTCAGTCTTCTTTTAGAGTGGTCTTGCTGACATAGAATTACTTACAGAGAGTCATGGAAATGGAGTAGGGACACAGAAATAAGTTACTAGGGAATGTCTTTAGCATGCAAATGGTATAACTCTGAATCTGTCACCTGGTGGTGGGCAGCATATGTTGATCTGTTTTCCTAAATATTTCAAAGCTAGCTGTTTATCTTTACAATGTTGTAAGGTTCCAGTATAATATTAAGGTAGAACTATCCAGCTCACAATTGGTAATAAAAAGCAGATAGATCAGAGATACAGATTTAGGAGTTATCTCCATAGAGGTTATAATTGAAACCATCAGAGCATAAAAGAGTACCTAAAGGACAATTGTAGGGGAAATCTGTATTACAGTGGAAGACAATGAAGAAAATAAACAAGGGGACAGAGGAGGAATAGTAAGGAGAGATACTAAAGGATGAGAACTTGAGAATGTAGTTTGCAGAAGGCAAGAGAGAGAGAGGGCATCAGGAAGGAATAAGATAGCTCATGTCATATATCACCAAGAGGTCAAGGAGAATGAGGAGAGAAAGAAAAGCCATTAGGTTTTTTTGTTAGTGGATTTGGAGAGAACTGTTTTAATAGAATGGTGGGGATGAAAGCCAAATTGCAAGAGGCTGAGGAGTGAGCAGGTAGTAAAAGAAGGAGAAGTAGCCAGTATAGATAGCCTTCTTGAAATTTTCAGTGAAGGATGATAACTTGAGTAGATAGTAGCATCAAAGGAAGAAGTGCTTTTTCTTTATTTTTTTTAAAAGATGGAAGATACCCATGCATATTTTTAGGGTGAAAGAAAGGCAATATTAAAGATGAAGATACTGAAGATACCTAAGGCAGAGAAAGCCTGTCTTCAGAGAGGAGGATTTATGGGTGAAAGTCAAAGAATAATGGGGAGGAGGGAATGAGATTGACGGTAGTGGTACCATTAGCAAGGGGAAATCAGTACTTCTTGTTAAGTTATTGTTGGAAAGGCAAAGAAAGATGTGAATGTTGAAGTTTTAGAAGTTTTAGAGTTTACATGGGATGGCTTTAATCTTTGTAACATAGGAGGTGAGGTCAAATTTGGCTTTGAAGAAAGGAAATTTGGAACAGGTATTGTTAGGAATGTGATAAAGATTCAATAAGAGATGATTTTAAAAATTACCTAGCAGAAGTGAGGGCTCATTTGAAGCTAGATAACATAAATTTGTAATAGTTGGAATAATTTTGTGGTTTCCTTCAGCAGCATTTTGAAGACTGGGAGTGGATATTCAAGCCTGAGTGTTTGTAGGGTTGAAACAGCAGAAGGTCAAAAGACTGGAATGTGGAAGAGAGGTCATTGTTGAAGTAGCTGACAATAATATGTTCATGGCTAGGTAAAGTGGAAAGTGAATCAAGACCAGAGTAATGTACGGAGAAATTAAGAATTGGAACATAGACAGTTATGATGATGCTAAACAAATAAGGGAATTAGAGAAAAGGAAAGACAGAAAATTGCTTTCAAAGGAATTTTAGAATTCCAGGATTTTGAAAGTGCAACATTTATGATGCTTGAATTGTACTTAATAAGAATTGGATAGACATCTGTTACCTTCTGGAAATAAAGACCCTTATGATTCTTTCTGAAGGAAAAAGGGTGATCCAACCTTTTTTAGGTCCTTTCTGTATGTTGCTTGGCTTTAATTAAAACAGACTTTGTGAATCTGGAGGCCTGAAAGAAAAGTGCTCAACTGGAATAATCTTTAACAAATGAAGTAATGCCTCCTTTTGTTGGTTAGCACTTACTTAACATCAGATATGGTCTGTTCCATTTGAAATGATGATTCAGGCTTCTTGGATAACTCACTCTGCATTGAAACTGAAGAATAAGGGAGGGAGGGAAAGAGGTGATATAAAAGAATCAAACATGAGTATAACTGCTTTGATAGCAGTTTATTAACTTTATTAACTTAACTTTTCACTTTTGCAGTTGAAATGATCCATCCTTGTCTTAAATTTTATGGTCATATATTTGATCCTCAGGTAAAACTTCAGACTTCTTGAAAGCCGTTATGGTACCCATAATAGAACCTTGGAAATGTAATAGCCGATATGTCTACAATAACATGATCACTTCTTCCATGATTTGTGCTGGATATCTCAGAGGGAAAATTGATTCCTGTCAGGTAATTGCTGTTTTATGTTCAACTATGGTAAACATTATTTTGGCTATGTGTATTTCTTCTCTTTTTCTTTTTTCATTTTAACATTCTTTTTTAAATTTTGAGTTCCAGTTCTCTTCCTCCTATAAGCCCCTCCCTTGGCCCTTGAGAAGGCAAAGCAATATATCCATTATACATGTGAAGTCATGCAAAATATATTTCCATTTTAACCATTACATGTATTTCCTAAACCATCCTAATTTTAATTTTAATTTTTTTCATTTTGAACTTAAATGCAAAAAGACAAAAAAAGAACTTCTCCATGTACATAGTACAACATAAAAAAAGATTCAATATCAAACTATGAATTTCTATTTCACACTGTTTACTTTTTTTTAAACTATGTAATACTACACATCATTTTCAAAGCTATCTTGCTTTTTTGTGCTTCCTTCTAAGTTTTCTTCTGTTCTCTGCTGTACATTTTTATTTTTTTTCCCCTCTCTACCCTGTCCTACCGAAGGCTACCATTAGATGCAAGTTTGTATGTGTGTGTTTCTATATGTGTATGTGTGTATGTTTATGTATGTATATGAAATATGTATATATGTGTATATATGTATATACATATATAAAATATATATATAATCATATTGTACATACTTCTATTTATAAGTTCTTTTTCCGCATGTGGATAGCATTTCCTTCATAGGTCCTTTCTGATGTAGTTGATTTGAGTACTCAAAATGACTTAGTCATTCAAAGTTGTTCTTAAAACAATATTGCTGTTAATTTGTACAATGTCCTTTTGGTTCTGCTCATTTTGTCCTTCATTGTTTCATGCAAGTCTTTTCATGTTTTTCTATTTCATTACAATTATATACAACAACTTTTTTAGCCATTCCCCAATTGACAGACATCCTCTCAATTTCCATTTTTTTTTGCCACCATGGAGAGCTGCTATAAATATTTTGAAACATATAAGTTCTTTTACTTTTCCTGTAATCTCCTTGGAAACAGACCTAATAGTGGTATTTCTGGGTCAAAGGGTATAAACGATTTTATAATTCCAGATTGCTCTCCAAAATGGTTGGATCAGTTCACAATTCCACCAATAGTGAATTAGTGTCCCAGTTTTTCAATATCCCCCAATATTTGTAATTTTTCTATTTTATTGTTTTAGCCAATCTGATAGATGTAAAATGGTATCTCAAAGTTGTTTTAGTTTGCAATTCTTTAATTGGCAATGATTTAGAGTATTTTTATATGACTATCACTTGATTTCTTCATGGAAAAACTGCCTGTTCGTATCCTTTAACCATTTATCAATTGGTGAATGACTCATTTCTTAGAAATTTGTCCAAAAAAATTGAGATATGAGACATGAGATCCTTATCTGAGAAACTGTATTAAAATTTCCCCCCCAATTTTCTGTTTTCCTTCTAATTTTGACTATAATAGTTTTATTTGTACAAAAACCTTTTTAATTTAATATAATTGAAATTGTACATTTTATACCTCCCAATGCTCTCTATCTCTTGTTTATTCATATATTGTTCTCCTATTTATAAATCTGATAGGTAATATGTTCCATGTTCTTCTGATTTGCTTATACAATCTCCCTTTATATCTGGGTCATGTATCCATTTTGACTTGATCTTCATAAATGGTGTTAGATATTGGTCTATACTTAATTTCTGCTGGACTGCTTTTTGCTTTCCCAACAATTTTTGCTAAATAATGAATTCTTATCCCAAAACACAAGGTTATTAAAATCATTTGCTATTATGTATTGCATGTCTACTCTGTTCCAGTATTTACCTTTCTATTTCTTGGCCAGTACCAGGTAGTTTTGAGAATTATTCTTACACTCAGTATTAATAATCTCACCTTTAATTTTTAAGATGTCCAATTTGGTGTTTAATTGGGGATTTTTAATTTGTTCTTTATCTAGTTTTTTTTTTTAATTGGATACTCTGGCAATTAAACAGGTTTGAGAGACATAGTTTCTAGGTAATTTAATCATTTTATTAATAAGGCCAACATATTATTAATAAAAGGTTGATCATTTGGCCATCTGTCTTAGACTAAAGACAATCATGGTAACAAGTTCTCAGTTTATATACCTTTCAAAGTGTAGGTGTTCCTGAGGGGAGGCAATTAACTCTGATTGGATAAAACAATGGAAGGTGAGCTATATTAAAATGAAGGACTGAGAGAGACATCTTGTCACCCTTATTTCAGTTATTTAGGTACTAGACCACCCAAAACTTTGGGCTAAGATATATAAAAATACCCCACCCAAGCCTGAGCAGAACATAGTAGCTTCCACCAGAGTGTGATCTTGAATTAAAAAGTTAGTCCAATCTCATTATCAGCAATGTCCTTTAAGAGACTGAAATTTTAAAATTAGGACTTTGGAAGAAGTGGAGAGCTCTGAATCTCCCCAAATTATTGGTTATTAATTATTATTTCTCATACTCAATTCATTGGTTTGCTCTTTCTGTTCTATTGATATAAACATTTAAAGATATAAATTTTCCTGTGATTACTGCTTTTGCTGCATCCCACAGGTTTAGATATATTGTCTCATTATTGTCATTCTCTTTAATGAAATTATTGATTGTTTCTATGATTTCTTCTTTAACTCACTTATTCTTAAAGATTATGTTGTTTAGTCCCCAGTTAGTTTTTAATCTGTGTTTCCATGGTCCCTTTTTGAATATAATTTTTATTGCATTTTGATCTAAAAAGGATGCATTGGATATTTCTGCTTTTCTGCATTTAGCTATGAAGTTTTTATACTCTTTTGTATTTTTGTATTTTTTGAGAATTGTAATTTTATAATAAAATTTTGTAGAAATGTATCTACCTCTGAGAAAAAAGGTGTTTTCCTTTATATTCCCATTCAGTTTTCTCCAGATATCTATCATATTTAGCTTTACTAAGATTCAATTTACCTCCTCAGCTTCTTATTTATTTCTTGGTTAGATTTATCTAATTCTTAGAGGGGAAGGTTAAAGTACCCTACTATTATAGTATTACTCTCTATGTATTTCTATGTGTAATTCATTTAACTTTTAAAAATTTTGATGCTTTAGCATCTGCTGTTTCCCTGTTTAATCTTTTAATTAAAACTATTTTACTTTAACTTTTTCTGAGATTATTGCTAACTTTGATTTTTTTTACCTTAACTGAAGCATAATAGATTTTATTCCACTCCTTTAACTCTGTGTGTATCTTTCATTTTAAAATTTGTTTCTTGTAAACAACATATTGTTGGATTCTGATTTTTAATCCATTCTGCTATGTTTCCATTTTATGGGTGAGTTCATCCCATTCACATTCAAAGTTATAATTAATAGTTGTGTATTTCCCTCCATGATATTTTTACTCACTATTATCCTTCTCACTCTCTTTTAATTACCTTATCCCTTTTCACACATCTGATTTACTTCTAACCACTTCCTCAATAAGCCATGCCTTTTAAATAATTCCTCCCTTATCCTCTCCTCTTAACCTCTTATTCTTTAATCTACACACCCCTCTCAAATTCCTCCCTTATCCTCTCCTCACAACCTCCTATTTCTCAATTTACACACCCTTCTAAAAGTCCCTACACTATCCTGTCCACTCACCCTCTTATTTCTTTATAAATTTGGTATACTTTTATACCATTCTATATGTATGTTATTCCCTCTTTAACCCAGTTTTGATGAGAATAAGGTTCCAGCACTACCATCCTCACCTGCTTCCACTATAACAGTTCTTCCATTCAAGTCTCGTTTTGATGAGAAAATTGCTCCATTTTACCTCTCCCTACCCAATTTTGCTTTTTAGAATTATCTCAGCATCCTCAACTCAATCCCAATCCTTCTATTTCTCTATATGTTCTTTCATACTACTCAAATAATAGTAACATTTTCCCATGTAAGAAGTAAACAATTTGGCCTTATTGAGTTAAAAAATAATAAAGTTTATTTGGAAGAATAAAAGGCCAAGAACTTCAAAGAAACTAATTAAAAATGTAAACAAAGAAGATTTAACAGTACCAGATTTTAAACTATATTATAAGGCAGTAATTATCAAAACTAACTGGTAGTGACTAAGAAATAAAAAGATCAGCAGATACAATACACAGCAGCAAATGTCTATAGTAGTTTTGTGTTTGACAAATGTAAAGATTTAAATTCTTGGCATAAGAATTCATTATTTAGTAAAAATTGGGAAAGCTGGAAAGCAATCTGGCAAAACTTGGGCATGGACTGATACCTTAAATAATTTACTAAGAGGTCAAAATGGATACATGACCTAGATATAAAGGGAGATATCACAAGAAAATTAGAAGAACATGGAATCTGTTACCTATTAGATTTATAGATAGAACAATTTGTGCATAAATAAGAGACAGAGGCATTGTGAGGTGTAAAATGAATAATTTGATTAAATTAAGAAGTATATATACAAATAAAACCAATGTTGCCAATATTAGAAGGAAAGCAGAAAACTGGGGTGAAATTTTTATAGTCTCTCAGATTCAAATATATTAAGATCTTTATCAGGTTTCTAAGAAATGAGTCATTCTCCAATTGATCAATGGTCAAAGGATATGAACAGGCAGTTTTTCAGTGACAAAATCAAAACTATATACATTCATATGAAAATCATTAGAGAAATGCAAATAAAAAGAACTTTGAGATATCATCTTACATTATCAGATTTAGGTTAAACTGACAAATACACTTTAATTAGGGAATGGCTGAAGGAGTTGTGGTATGTAATTGTGATAGAATACTATTGTGCTATAAGAAATGATAAGGTGGTTGATTTTCAGAAAAGCATGAAAAGACTTGCATGAAATAATGAGAAGTGAAATGAGCAATACCAAGAGAATGTTGTACATAGTAACAGAAATATTGTCCCTAAGAACAACATTGAATGACAAATTCATCTTGAGTATCATAAATACTCAAATCAACTACAAAGGACCTATGAAGGAAGATGTTGTTCACTTCCAGAGAAAGAACTGTATATTATAATTTTGTGAGAGTGTGTGTGTGTTGTATGTGTTTAATTGTAGCCTTCTGTAGAATGGGGGGAGGGGAGGGAAAGGGAGGGAAAAAAAGTAAACAGCAGAGAACAAAAGAAAACTTAAAAATTTCCATGTAAATGGAAATTCATGGTTTTATATTGAATCTTCTCTTTATATTGTACTGTGAATATGGAAAATTTTTTTGGCTTTTTGTATTTAACTTAAAAATAAATAAAAAAAGTAAAAATTGTAATTGGGAAATTTTTAGGAAAATAAATGAAAATACAGTAGAATACATACACACACACGCATACATATACAGAATATCAATTTTGCAGCTATGTAGAGGGAAGAGATTGGATGTAGGTAGAGTCCAGGGTTGGGAAACCTGTGGCCTTGAGGCCACATGTGGCCCTCTAGGTCCTCAAGTGCAGCCCTTTGACTGAATAAAAACTTCACAGAATGGAATTTCACAAATGGATTTGTTTTGTGAAGTTTGGATTCAAAGGGTCACACTTGAGGACCTAGAGGCCACATGCCTTGAGGCACAGGTTCCTTACTCCTGAGGTAGACCAATTAGGAGTTTTTTCAGTAATCTAAGTTAATAGGTATGTGGGCCTGATCCAGAGTTATTTAGATGTAGTAAAGAGAAGGGGGCTGATACAAGAGATATTAATGTGATAGAATCCTTGAATCTTGGCAGCTGATTGGATGGGGCTGGTGGTGGTGATGACTGAGAATGAAGGGTTAAGAATGATTCCTAGCTTGAAAACCTAGGTGAATGGATGCATGATGGTGGTAGCATGGTTAGAAATAGGGAAGTTAGAAAATGGCTAATGGTTTTAGGAGGAAAGTTAGTGAATTTCGTTTCAGGTATGTGCAGTTTTAAGTGGTCTCTAAGGCATCTAGGGGAAGATTTAGTTCAGCTCGTAATCCAAAGGAATCCCCATGATCATATACATAGTAATTTGTCATCCAATCTCTGCTTAAAGACTTCTGTGGGCTTGTGTGTGTGCGTGTGTGTGTGTGTGTGTATGTGTTTGGAGGGGTGGGAGGGAAGAGCTGACCCATCACTTCTCAAAGAAGCCCGTTTCACTTTTGGAAGATCTAATTAAAATTTTTCCTGATATCAATCCTAAAGTTGCTTCTTTTCTACTTCTACCCTTTCCTTCTGAGTCCAAACAGAGTAAATCTGCATTAGTCATTTATATACCCCCTAAATTTTCTCTTGTCTCATAAACATTGCCTCTTCCTTCAACTAATCCTCCTTCCCCTCTCCCTTGAAGCCTTGCTTGTTTTCTTTAGGAACAATTCATTGTCCCTAATAATCTGGAAAGACAGAAGTGGAATTCTGGACAGATATTAGGAGTAAATTTATTGTCAATTTCAGAGCCATCTGCATATAGATGGTAAATAAACTCATTCAAACTTTTTACATCATCAACAAAGTGTGTAGAAAGAGAAGGACCAGTATAGAAACTTGGGGCACATCTGCACACGGTAGTTAGGATATGGATGATGATCCAACCATGGAAACGAAAAATAATTCACCCAACTGGAACAAAGAAAGGCATAACAGAACAGTGTTGATGAAAACCCCAGGAGGAGGAAAATCCAGAAGGAGCAAGTAGGCAGCAGTGTCAAATGCTACAGAGGTTATGAAGGAGGACGAGGACTGAGAAAAGACCATTGGATGAAGAGCTCATTGCTGACAGTGAAAGTAATTTTAGTTAATCAGTTCAGTTGGAAGGCAGGTTACAAAGGGCTGAGTGGAAGGTGAGAAAGTAGAGGAAATTAGTATGAACAACTTTTTCTTGCAGTTTGACTATAAAAAGGAGGAGAGCTGTAAGAGAATAGTTTGAAAATATTGTGTCATTTTTTTCTCATATGTATTTTAGATTATGTGTGGAAAGCTGAACATGTTTGCAAGCAGGGGAAAAGCGCCATAGACAAGATATTTAACATTAGGTAGAGGGAGATTGAGATGACAAATTTCTAGACAAGATAAGATGATGGGAAGGAAGGAAGGAATTGAAGAAGGGAAGAAGGGAGGGAGAGAGGTAGGAAGTCTTCCAAAGCAAGGCTTTAAACCAACATTCATTGCATTGCATCATCCTCCCCACCCCAAAATTTTTCTTCTCCCCTCCCACCCAATTGTCTCATGCATTCATTTATATCAAACATCCTTGTCTTCTTTTTTTAATTCTGTCCTCTTATTTAACTTTCTTTGTTGTTCTTAGGGTGACAGTGGGGGTCCTTTAGTCACCAAGAAAGATTCCATATGGTGGTTGGTTGGTGATACAAGCTGGGGATCTGGATGTGCCAAGACAAACAGACCTGGAGTTTACGGAAACCTGACAGTATTTACAGACTGGATTTACCAACAAATGCAGGTAATGTTTATGTTTTGCCTTTAATTCATTAAATATATCCTTCTTCCCTTTTTAAAGCTCACACATATATAATATACTGAGTTCCTCTGTAATTAACACAGATGCAAATGGCCAATTATTAGCAGTAGGAAATGTATTTGGTTTTTTTTTTCCTTCCAAGTAGCAGTGATGTTAGTTGGGAGCCATTTCTCTGGACTCTACACAGTTTTTGGAAATTGGAAGAGCAATTAGACTAATTATGCCATCTGTAACATACTCGAAAAATCTTTTCTCTAAGAACTATGGAAGAGGAAAACCACTGTCTCTTGAAACAACTTACTTTGGGCAGCTCAAATTACTGAGTAGTTTTTCCTTAAATCAAGTATAAATATGTTTCTTTGAAACTTATACTGCATGATCCTACTGGTATCATTTCAGCCTAAGCAGAAAAAGTCTAATCCTATTTTCCTATGATAACCTTTCAAATACTTGAAGATGGTTCCAGATATGATCTGATCTGGGTGAAGTACAGGAGGACTACCACCTCCTTTTTGTACACTGTTCCCCTTGGTGCAACTTGGGATTACATAATTTTTTTGGTTGCCATTTACTCATACTGAGCTTGAAGTCCACTAAAAATTCCAAGAGTACTTTTTTGGAAAAAAAAGATTTTTTAAGTCACCTTTCATTTTTACATCAGTCATTTCAGGATTCCTTCTCAGATCTCTCTTTTAACAAAGAAAAACAGTCCATCAAATAGGATTAACCCAGTGACCACATCTGACATAAATAGTATTCTCCCTTCTCCACCAAGAAGAGGGAGATATGCTTCTTTACTAGTTCTTTGGGACCAAGATTGTTTATTACAGGTACTCAGAGTTTGGTTTCCTTTTACTAGTTTTTGCTCCCTTGTTTTCATTATTTTGGTCATTATGTGTTGTGACAAGGAATACAACTTGTCCTCTTAAAATACAGAAACACCACTATACATAGTTACAGGTGGATTCTTTAAGAAAGGAATTTCTGAACAGAGCTTGAAGAAGTCTTACACTTGAAGAAAAGCAGCTTATTTCTGTTTATATAGCCTTCTTAGCAGTTACCTGCATTTTAGGCTTGATGGAGAACTTTATCTTTGTTTAGCAAACTATAGGATTATGTCTTGAATTAGGAAGATCTAAATTCAAATCCAGCCCTCAAACACTTACTAGCTGCATGACTCTGGGCAAGTCACTTAACCTCTATTTGACTCAATTTCCTCATCTGTAAAATGGGAGTAATCATAACATCCCATGGTTGTTAGATGATCAAATGAGATAATTTACAAGTGCTTAGTACAGTGACTCCCACATTGTAAGTGCTATAGAAATGCTAGCAATCATTCTTATTATTTTTATTATTCGAGTCCCTCATGTCAACAGAGATAGATGACTGTTGTCTTTTTGTCTCCATACATGTATACTGTTCTTCTGGTTCTACTTATTCATTCTGCATTAGTTCACGTACATCCTACCCCATTTTTCTAAAATTCTCATTCATAGTTGTCTGCTGCAGAGTAGGGTTCCATTACATTGTCTTACTATAGCTTGTTTAGCTATTCCCATTTTTTTGCTGTTACAAAGAATACTTCTATGAATGTTTTGGTACCTTTTAGACCAGTGGTGGAGAACCTACCACTTTGACCCTCTAGGTCCTCAAGTGTGGCCCTCTGACTGAATCCAAATTTCACAGAACAAATCTTTGACCTCATTTCCTCAGATATTTTTCATATTACCTTTTGTCTAGCTCTTCCTGCATATGTCTTATTCTAATGAATTAGATTTTTTTCATACAAGTTGGAAGACCTTATGTTCATCAAAATAAAAACATTTAAAAGAGCATTTAATCCTTTTTCCCTTGGCTAATTAGACCACAGGAAAACATCAGTTTAAATTTACCAAGATGTAAAACACAGACAATGCTAACAACAATACTGGACATTACACAAATACTAACATTTAAACAGAAACAAAAACAAGACAGACGTGGTGAGGGTTTGCAGAATCTTCTCATCTTTAATTTACAATATTCCAAGGTACTCATTTGAGGCCAAAACAAATTATCATCTGAATCTCTTAGAGTTTTAGACCAAATTTCACCTAACCTGATTGTGTGCTTCTTGGTCATTCCCAAATCCTTCAGGAGCTTCCCCTGGTCCCATGTTGTAAGAAATATTTCCAGGGTGGGAATTCTTTTGGAATAATATTACCGGAACCCAAGGAGGAATCTTCCCCAGCAATGTGGAGGGATTCCTTGACTTAGCCCTTTGGTATGGTAATACTGGAATCCTATCTTTCCCTTAGGGGAATATTTCCAGGGATATCCTTCCCCAATCGTTTGTGAGGGCTTACTTTAATCTTGGAAGAGCTGAAATTGAAGGGGTGTCAGACCTCAGCGGCATACTTCTGTAGAGAAATTCTTCAGTGAGAAAGTCAACTGGCATGCTCTAACAAGTTCCTTGGAGAAGTCACTCTAGGGGCTAGGACCTCCTCTAGATCCCTTTGTGGTTGCCAATTTTCATTTTTGAATTGAGGTAAACTGAGGAAACAAAATCTAAGCTATGTAATTTATTAGCAAGGCATGCAATTGCAGACAGATCAGGTACATGGCCCCTCAGCAGACACAAGGACCCAGAAGAGAGAATTACAAGGGTTTTTTTTAATAGTTACTATTTTTAGATTTAGGTGTGCTTGAGGGATGTTCATTGGTTGCATCCACCTGCATCCTTCAAGCCAGTTAGGGATACAATAATATTGATTTCCTTGAAATGACAATTTATAGAAACAACTAAACTTTAGCTCACAGACACAGAACTTAGCAACTGTACAAAATGTCCATAATGATACAGAATGGACTCAATTTGATTCTCTTACTCTATCCGTTCTGCCACATTGTTTTACTTATGAAGATAAGTAGTAATAATAATAATAACAGTAAAATGCATACAGTAAATAGAAATGATTTTGCTGGGAACATAGGAAAGGGCAAACAGCTGAGGGGGAGGAGTAATAAAGACTTTATGTAAGAGATGGCACTTCACTGAAATGAAACTCAGGATTGCAAGGAGTAGAGGTGGGAAAACAGCATTTCAGGCACAAGGGACAGCATGAAAGGACAAATGGACAACATACAATGGACAAAGAACAGAAGGTATTTTAGTATTTTAGTTGGATTGTATAGTGTATGGGGATTAGTATCAAATGTCTTCTAAGGTAGGTTGTAGTCAGATAGTGAGAGTGTTAAATATCAGAGTATTTTCTCATAGAGGCAGTAAAAAAGCCCTGAATCTTCTTGGGCAGAGGTCAGACCTGTGCTTTAGAAATAGTGATCTGGCCAATGTGGGAATGGAAGGGAGAGGAAAGAGAATAGCAGCAGGGAAATCAATTAGAAGTCGATTGTAGCAGTGTAGGCAAGATGAATAAATACCTGAACTGCGTAAATGGAGAGGAGTTAGATCCAAAAGGTGCTAGGAACAAAGAATTGACAAGCTAGAGCAACTGAATTGATATGGAAAGTGAAGAAAAAGGGAGATTTGAAGAAGACTTTGAGGTTGCAAACTTGAATGACTAGAAGGATGATGATATCCTGGACAGAAATAGCTTTTTTAAAAAAAATTTAATTTTTTTTCAGAAATAGCTTTTTTGCTTTCTTTTATTAGAATATCACTTTGCCTTATTACCTCCATGATATACTTGTGTGTATAAATATCTTGAAGCTCTGTTTTATCACTAGTTCCTTTTTTGGATTTTTTTGTCCTACGAATGACTTGACATTTCTATTGCTCTTCATCCTATTGTAGAACCATTTTCCTTTATGACATATTTCCTTACTCAAATTTTATTTTTTAAAAAAAATGAGATGATTAGTAACACACAGTGAAATAGAAAGAAGGGACTGTTTGGACTAGATTCTGTCTCAGATCCTTCCTGGTTCTAGACAGTATAATTTTAAAGTTTTAAATTAATTTGAGAAAGGCAGGGGAATAGGTGTTGGTAAAAATCATAAAATAATGCCATGAGAATATGGGTTGGTTATGTTGCATAGATGAAGTGCTCAACTGGTGCTCACGAGATGTCAAGTGAAACTGAAGGCCTCCCATAAGTTAGGTGAACCCTGTGATGAACTAATTCATGAAGTAACTCATGACAAAATGCAGCAAGAGAAATTTAAACCACTTAATAATCCTTTTGTAAAAGCTGCCCTGACTGCTAGGCTATCATTGAAATTTTGTAAGTCAAAATCCATAATCTCTATTCAGGCTAATATGTCTATTCCCCCAAGGGAAAGATAGGATTCCAGTATTACCATACCAAAGGGCTAAGTCAAGGTATCCCTCCACATTGCTGGGGAAGATTCCTCCTTGGGTTCCGGTAATATTATTCCAAAAGAATTCCCACCCTGGAAATATTTCTTACAACATGGGACCAGGGGAAGCTCCTGAAGGATTTGGGAATGACCAAGAAGCACACAATCAGGTTAGGTGAAATTTGGTCTAAAACTCTAAGAGATTCAGATGGCATCATCTTTCATTTATTCCCAAAGTGGTGCTAAATGTGACTGTGGGGAATGGTGATGTAGAATATGATGATAATCATGATAGCGAATGAGGTTGGCCCATAGTGTCATATACTAATAACAGTCAGTTAGCTATGTTCCTGGTGCCAATTGGGTCCTTCCATACGTTATGTTATGACTTGGCATACCTAATACCTTGGTATGACCTGGCATACTTAATATCTTGCCTTCCACAATACCAGGCCTATTGGATATCAACTCATTTTAGTCATAGTCCCAGGGTATATGACTCAACTATTCATGGTCCTAAGGGTAGGAGAAAGCTCTGGTCAAGGACTTGTAATCACTGCTTATCAGTCATTAATTATACCATATTGCTAGATTCCTTGAACTTTGGAGGTTATCCCAAGTAGATGTCATATTTCTTGGGGCCCCAGTATCCATCCTTTACAAATGGATCCCTAAGACTGTTAATGAAAAGAATACCTTTTCCCATTTCCAACTATGGAAATTATGATCAAACTTGAAAACCAAGAAATTTTTCCAGACTTGGTTTGGTGTTGAGAGTGAAATGAACTACAATTTCCAACTGCATTTTGATGACTGTGTCATCCTCTCAAGTTTCCATTGATTATGTTTCATTTTAGTTGTTTTCATGAGGAAAAAAATGTATTGTAGCTCAAGTCATCCTCAAAATAATAAAAACTTAGGATCAAATCCTGCTTCTGACACATATTAACTGGGTGAATCTCCTCTTTTCCCTCTATACTATTTCACCTGATGATTTCATCAACTTAATTTATCATTATTTGTGAAGGTGTTTCTTGTGCCGGTCGCACCATGCACTCTCCTCCTATAAGGAGCAGGCTGCAAGGGTCATACTTACCAGTCTTTGGAACCCACCCGGATAAACACAGAGACGAGCCGATCAGGAGGTGCAAACACTCGAACTTTATTCAGAGGCCATCACAGCAAGGCCAAGCAGGAAAGCAAGAGCAAGAGAGCAGGAGCAAGAGAGAGCGAGCTCCGACCCTTACCGCCCCTATATACCTTCCTTGCCCCTCCTCTTCAGCCCGCCTACCAGTGAATGATTGTAGGATCAGATACCGGAAGGGGATGTCTGGGGTTAGCGCTGCACCTAGGGAGAGGACTAGACAAAGGGAGCTCATTTTCTGCCATCCCACTCCCACGTGGCACAGCCCCCTGCCTCGGGAGCGTGAGCTCCGGTTACTTCCTAATATCTTGTCCCTGCCCCATCTTGCCACAACCCCCACGTGGCACGTAGCCAACATCAGGCAATCCCTCACAGTTTCTGGGTATCTAGGTGGTGCAGTGGATAGAGTGCTGAGACTAGACTCAAGAAACCAGAGTTCAAATCTGGCCTCAGATACTTATTAGCTGTGGGACCTTGGGCAAATCATTTAACCTCGATTTAACTCAGTTTCCTCATCTGTTAAATAGAGATAATCATAGCACCTACCTTCCAGGATTGTTGTGAGAATCAAATGAGATAATAATTGTAAAGTGCTTAGTACAGTGTCTGACATATATTTAAGTATGATGATGATGTTGATTCTCAGATCTATTTATCCAACCCTAACCTCTCCCAGGACCTCCAGTCTCACATCTTTAACTGCTTATAATTTAAACTTAACAGGTCCAAAACAGAATTCGTTGCATTTCCTCCCAAACCCTTCTCTCTTTATAACTTTTAAGAAGTCAATCAGTTATGCAAGGTGGAATTATCCTCGATTCTCCATACCCTCTCACTCCCCACATATTCAGTTTGTTGCCAAAGCCTATTGATTCTATGTTCATAAAATCTCTTGTTTGTGCTTCCTTGTCTCCTGACACTACTATCATCCTTGTGCCAGCCCTTATCGCTATGTCTGGGCTATTGCAGTTGGCTTCTAATTTTTCTTTCTGCCTCAAAATCTCTTCCTTTTCTTGTACATTCTCAGCTTAGCTGTTGAATTGATTTTCCTAAAACAGGTCACCCTCTCTCATCCCATTCAATAAACTTCATTGGTTTCCAAGATTAAATATAAAGTCCTTTGGTGGTTAAGGGGCTTCATAACCTCTTCTCTTCCACTCTTCTTATACCTTATTTCTCCCCAGTCCCCACTCATATACTATGTGATCCAGTGACACTGTCCCCTTTACTGTTTTCACACAGGACTTGATATCCCTTGATGCTGGACATGGCTGTCACTCATGCCTAAAATTTTCTTCCTTCTCATCTACTTCCTGACTTCCCTGGCTTAAATTCTGTCTTCTACAAGAAGCCTTTCCTAATTCCCCTTAATTCTAACACCTCTCTTTTGTTGGTTTTTGCCAATTTAATCTGTGTACATCTTGTTTGTGTACATGCGTATATATGTTATGTGTACATAAGTGTTTGCTTGCTACATTCCACGTTTGCTTGTTATTTCTTCCATTAGACTATGAGCTCCTTGAGAGGTGGGATTTTGTTTTGCCTTTCTTTGTATCCTCACCACCTCACACAATGCTTTGAATAGTATTTGCTTGATAAATGCTTGCTGTCTTGATTTGACAGACATATATTGGTAGAAGGAGGTTCTTCATTGGAGATTCACTGATTGATTGAAATCACAGTTCTGAATCACTCCCACCAGTTGCGAAAAAAGTTTCAATAGTCAAAACCAAGCAGAAGATATATTGATTTTTTTTAATTTGGACTAATGTTTTCTCTTTTATTGTTTCTTACAGGCAAACAGGTGATCTATATGTCTTCCATCTTTGAAAATGATCAGCAAGTTAACCAAGGGTGGATTTTCTTTACATTATGTATCATCAGAATAATTCACAGGTTCTTTCATTTTTATTAAATAGTAAATTCATTTGTCTTTTTTACTCTTTACAGTTCTGTGCAGGCTACAGTAACTTTTTTTCTGGTTTCTCACTGTAAACACAATGTACCTGAATTTAAGTGTTGCTGATTTGTTAGAAATGAATGCCAAATATTTCTTGGAGTGTGGAGACTTGTGAATCAAACCAGAATGTTTCATTAGCTTATGGTTTATGTTCATAATTGAGAAAGTCATTGATTGTTGCACAGTAATGTTTTCTAATAATCTAGGTTTTGTATAACACACAACAGTGTGTATTGAACTAAAGATGGTGATTAGAACCACTCAGCTGCTAATTGACTTGAAATGAAACACGATTCAAGGGAGGACAGGTAAGCCTTCCTGGGTGAGAATAACGTGATAGTACCCCAGCAGTACATTCACATGAAGCCTGATAGCTTTCTCAGAGGTATTTGTTAATTTGTATTTTTCTTTTTTAATAGCATTGTGCAGTGGCTAGAAGTGAATGATTGACTTAACCAAGGCACCTGGGGGAAAATCAGGGATGTGCTATTTAAATTATAGTGTTTTTATGTAGCTTTCTATATATACCTCTGTTTTTATATGATTTGAGTTTTGAAGCCTTAAACTATTACATCAATATTTGGCTATTTGGAGATACTATGTTCATCAAATCTGAGAACTGAATATCTGAAATACTCTAGATTTGAGTGATTTATGTTGATAGAGTATGTGCCATCAGGATCTTCTAGAGTTTTCCAAATAAATGGTGCTGCTATAGATTGGCAAAGATGATAAAAATAAAAATGATGATTATTGGAGGGGACACAGGAGAACAGTTATGCTGAAACAATATTGATGTAGCTGTGAACCTTTATAGATATTCTAGAAGGTAATTTAGAATTACGTCACCAAAATCTCTAAAGTATACATATAGTTGTCCTAGCAATACCACTGCTGGCTAGGCTTATACACCAAAGAGGGAAAGGATCTATATGTACAAAGGAGTTTATAGCAGTACTTTTTTTTTTAATAACGATGAGCTGAAAACTAGTGGTAACCATCAGATGGGTAATGATTAACAAACTATGGTAATAAAATTATATAGTAGAATATTATTGTGATATAATAGATGAGAAAACTGATTCAGGAAAAAAAATAGGGATACTCACTTTTGTGAACTGATACAGAGTAAGATGAGCAGGACCAGGAGAATGATTTATACAGAGACTAAAAACTGAGAAGAAAAGCTACTCTGAAAGACCGGTTAATGTGCTGATCAGCCATGATCCCAGAAGACTGATGAAGAAACTTGCTTCCATAGCGCTGATGAGCTAGAGGTGAAGAATGAGACATACATTTTCAGACATGGCCAATATGTGTATTTTTCTTGACTATGTTCATTAGTTGAAAGGAAATTCCAAAAAGAATTGGCATGGGGGATGATAGTGATACAAAAGAAAATTAATGATAGGAGCATTGATGAAGTATTTTTGAAGTGGAAGGTCCCAGAGAAACGTAAGCAAGCAGGATAGTTTTGGTATGAACATGCAGAATGTGTTTTATATCTAAAAAACAAGCTGTTTTTAGTGGAGATTCATGGTTTCATGTATAGTCCATTTTTTTTTCTGTTCTTCTTTGTATATGGATACCTTCATTTCCTGATGTTTGCCAAGTTCAGAATAACAAATGTATATGTATATATACATATATATTAATATTAGTATTATAAATGGTGCTGAATTTGTGAAAGAGGAGAGTTAATTGTTTTAAACCAAATTCATACAGTTAAATGAAGTCTAAATGACTTTACTGTATATAAACTTCCTCATCCTTTGACCACTTTCTTCCTGGATACCCCTATTCCAAGAACTTTGAATGACACTATCGTACAACATGGAATAAAAAATCATGAATATTATGTTCATCTCATGTTGATATTTCCTCTGCCTTTGGTGTTACTCTCAACAGATATTCCTTAGGAATTTCCAAACAGCATCCGGTATCACACGATATCAGCCAATTGAGCCCAGTTTCTAAAAGATATCTATCTGTAACACAATTTTTTTTTTCTGATGCTAAGTTTTATTTATTTGTAACCAATAGTTGTATCCTACATTTTATATAATTTTAAACAGCTGTAAAATTAAATTGCATATTATCTTGCAAATAAATACTACTTTTTCCATCCTAATTATCTATGTGGTCTTTATGAAGCAACTAATGTATTACTTGACATTTACATAAATATCACCACCTTTGTTAAATGCGTACTTTGTGATTGAATCAGGAAGAGAAGAGAAATGTAGAGTATTTGACTAGCAGTATCCATAACCACTCATCTAGGTCTAGGTCAATGTTATTTTTTTTCCCCAACTGTGTTAAAATTATTATGGAAAAACCTCCAATGTGATGATGGAAAAAGTTTTTAAACATATAATCTTAATTAGATCTTGAGAGTAATAAAAAGTACAAATACTAACTTTAAAAATAGTACAAAACTCATTCAGTAAATGAAAGAAGACCAATGAATCAACAAAAATTTGGTTTTCTTTAAAATTCCAAATTTTAGGAAGGAGGAGCAATTACACCCAAATAGTAGAACTGAGCCCAAACTCAGGACCTTTGACCAGTACCCTATCCTAACCAGAGGAACCATTACTTCGCTCCCCCTTCTACTCCCTTATAAGTCTGTCACCTCTACCATTTCCCCAAGAAGAGGAGGAAGAGCGGTACTTAAAGGCCAGGCTGAACACAACCTAAGATCTCATCCATAACCATCTGTAATAGCTTTGTAGACTGGATTTCATTATTCATTAGACACTAATTACTCCCATGCCTTCTCTTGTTTTTTTCTCTCTTCCTGTACTAATAAATAATTTTTCATTTAAGAGAAAACTATCCCTAGCCCCCACCTCCTGATCTCTCATTTACATCCTCAACTCTACTCAATCCATATCCCAATCCAACCTTGTCTACTCTTTTCACTGTGTCTTTGGAATTCCCATTTCATACTGAACAAATTCCCTTTCATCCCAGATGACTTTCTCTCATACTTCTTCCGTCTCACTGAGACTTAGCTCATCCCTGATGAGTCTGCATTCCCAGCTATCCTCTCTAGCACTGGCTGTACCATCTTTCAGTTTCCCTACACACATTCTCTCTGTCTGTCTCTCCCTCTCCATCCCTCCCTTCCCCCGCCCAATATCACTTCAAAAATTCCACTTATATCTAAGTCGCTTAGTGGACTTTCTTCATTTGCAGTCCAGTCAAAATTTCCACCCAATCTGTGGAGTTGTTTTCAGTCATGTCCAACTCTTAGTGACCCCATTTGGGGTCTTCTTGGCCAAGATACTGGAATAGATTGCCATTTTCATTTCCAGTTCGTTTTACCGATGGCAAAACTGAGGCAATCAGAATTAAGTCATTTGCCTAGGGTCACACAGCTAGTAACTGAGGCCAAATTTGAACTCATAAAGATGGCTTTTTGACTCCAGGCCCAGCACTCTATTCATTGTACCACTGTAATCAACCTCCAAATCATTCCTGCTTCTTTCTCAAGGAGTTCACCTAGCTCACCATCATTCTCTTGTCCTCAACCATAGTCTTTATACTTGGAAAATTTAATATTGGCATAAATGTTTCCTTAATTTGAGATTTTGACATTCCCCTATCTAAAAATAATCACCTATCATTCATTTTCCCCCTGTACCTACCAAATCCTAGACCTATATTTCACTCTCATTAAAATATCTGATTTCTACATCCTTCAGTACTTTCTCAGGATATTACCCTTCCTCTAATTTCACTTTTTCCATCTTCAATCTCTGTACACTTGTCTTATGGCCACTTTTTGCCAAACCCCAACACTGAATCAATCCCATAATCTTCCTACTGATCCCTTTTTGCAGCAAGGCAATGCTTTTATTATTTTATAACTGATTCCCCTTTTCCCTAGAAAACCTTCAAATTCAAAACTTCTAAATATGAAAATAGAAATTCTGAAAATCAAAGAGAATGAAATTGAAAACAAAAAAAAATTAAGTAAATAAATAAAAGTAGGAAATGGTTTAAAAATCTATTAGCTAACTTGATTTTCTCAAACAGAAAAAAACTCAGTTTTCAGTATCAAAAATAGAAAATGTGAAGCAACCAAAGAAGAAAGATGATGAATTATTAGAAGACGTTTTGTCCAACCATATACCCGTTTGACAATCTAAATGAAATGCATGAATATTTTCAAAAACATTAACTGCCCAGATTAACAGATTAAGAAATAGAGAACTTAACTATCATAGCAAAAGAAAGTATGCAATAAGTAAACTAACTCACAAAGGAAAATACCCAGGACCACATAAATTTACAAGCAAATTCTACCAAGCATTTAAGGAACAATTCAATTCCACTATAAAGTACATAAACAGTTTGAAAAAACAGGAAAAGATTGAAGTCCTACAACATTCCCTTTTATGACACAAATATGGCCTTGGTACTTAAACTAGGAAAAATCAAAATAGAGAAAACTAGTTCAGTTTTCCTAATGAATATTGGTGCAAAAATTTTAAAGCAAAATATTAGGAAGGAGACTTATAGCAACATGTTACAAAGATTTTATGTTATTACCAGGCTGCTTTTATACCATGAATGTAAACAACTGATTATAACAAAAACAAAAATATATAATTAGATAAAGAGTTGCAGAAAAACTTTTGACAAGATATAACACCCATTCATAGAATCCACTGGAATGTATAGGAATAAATGGAACTTTCCTCAAACTGATAAAACTGGTCTATCTAAAACCAACAGCCAACATAATTGGGAAAAGTTACAGGTCTTTCCAGTAAGATCCAGAATAAAGTAATGACATCATCACCATTACTATTCAATATATTCAATATAATGGTCAAAATGGTAGAAATAACAAGACAAAAAATAAATTGAAAGAACAAGCACAGATAAAGAGGAAATGAAATTGTGACTATTTTCAGATAATGTAATGGTATTCTTAGAAAACACTAGAGTCAACTAAAAAGCTAATTGGGATAATTTACAATTTACAGTTGCAGCATATAAAATAAGCCCATAGCAATCATCATTTCTGTATATTACCAGCAGAAAGAGATAAAGAAATGCCATTTGAAATATCTTCAGAATATATGAAATACTTGGGATCTACCTGCCAAGTTACTCACAGGAACAAAAATACAAAACATTATTTACACAAATAAAGACATTCAAATAATTGGAGAAATATTGTCTCTATATTTGAGAAATGAAGCCTTTATCAGATAATATAAAAATTGTTTCTCAGTTTTCTGCTTTCCTTCTAATCTTTATTGCAATAGTTTTATTTGTGCAAAACCTTTTAAATTTAATATAATCACATTTGTCCATTTTACATCTTGTAATGATCACTGTATCTTGTTTGGGTGTAAATTCCTCCCTTTCCTATAGATCTGACAGATAAACTATTCCTTACTTTCCTAAGTTGCTTATGGTATCATCCTTTAAGAGAAATATTGATTGTCCATTTATAAGTTGAGCTAACTATTAAAAATGACAATATTGTTGAAATTACTTATTCAGTACAGTACCAATCAATGTACAAAATTGTTGCTTTATAGAGCTAGAAAAATAATAATTCATCTGAAGGAATAAAAGGACAAGAATATCAAGAGAATTGATTTTTTTTTGAAGTGGGAAGTAATGGCACCTCATAGTGCCAGATTTTAAATTATACTACAAAGACATAATCATCAAAACAATTTGTTACTGGGTAGGAAATAGAGAAATTAATTAGGGCAATATATTAGGTATGCGCAATATATAGATGCAAACAAATACAATAGCCTAGTGTTTGATAAACCCAAAGAGCCCAGCTACTAGGGCAAGAACTCACTACTCAACAAAAACTTGGGAAAATAGGAATGCGGTCTGGCAGAAACTAAGTGTAGACCATCACTAATATTAAATAAGCTCCAAATGGGTACATGATTTGGGCATAAGAGGTGACATAACAAATTAGAGGAGCAAGGAAGAAATTACCTGTCAGATCTATGGATAGGGAAAGAATTCATGACCAAACAAGAAATTGAGAGGTTCACAACAGGTAAAATGAACAATTTTTTTTTGCCCAAATAAATGTAGCTAAAATAAAAAAATCAGGA